CGCCTCGCGATGTTTCCAGAGAGAACAGCTGTGAGGTCCATGCAGAAAGCAGAGCAGTGTGTATAATATATATCACTCAGTATAACAGCCCTACTCTCTTTATTTGCTTTAGTTTAGTAGATATCTACAAACAAAGAGTCGATATTTTTCTAAGACCATTGCTTCACATAATAAAATACACAACGGATTATGCTTTAGGAGCTGTAGGTGTGTGTGGTACAGTGTGTAGGTGTGTGTTGTACAGTGCGTAAATGCGGCGGACAGACGGCCTCAGTTGGTTTGGTGTCCTCTGCTTACTTTTAATAGGCCTACTTGTAAATACAACTTTTGGCCCGTAATTTCAATTCCCCATTTCAGCGACCAGAGAGAGGGGGGGATATATCCAGTCTCTGATTGTGTTACGTTATTATGAGAGTGCTCTCATACTTTAAATTGTATATATTTATATAAATATATTTGTGTGTGTGTGTCCGCATCTGTAGCCTGTTATTGTCTCATTATACCGCACTCTCAATGAATTCAAAGTAAATATGTGGGGGAACAATGTTCAGCTGATCTAACAGAGATACAGCGCTATGACAAAACACTCGACAGCTGATGCAGCTGTTGCCACGTAATAATGAACGGACGTCTCTTTAAAATGACCGCTCAGAGGAGAGGAGTTCTCATTTCTTTAAACGTCTGCTGCTTCCCCTCCTCTCTCCTCGGTTCCCCTCCTCGGTCCTCCGCTCGCATCTCCTGTGGGCGGGTCTAAGTCTCGAGGAGGGGAACCGAGGAGGGGAGTCGAGGAGGGGAAATTTGAGTATTGAGAAGCCTCTATCGTGTTTTTTGCAAGTCAACACAACAGGAAATCACGTGTATCACTTTTGTTTCATGAAACCACTAGATGGTGCTCTCATCCTTTCAATGCAAGCTCTGCTACTCTGACACACGAAGTGGATTTAATAAAGGACTGTCTTACCTGCCAACATCACTTTTGTTAAGTTTAGAAATATCTTCTTTTTTTTTTAAAGCAGCTGATTTAACTCTTTGTGAAATTGTTGTAAGTATCAAAATAAATACTTCTAATACAAAGTCAGAATACAAATGCCACTAAAAGGGGATGCATTTAGAACAGTGCCATTGTATAATGAAAAGGACTTTAAGACAGTGATAATGGATTATTGTGTATGATTATGTAACATTTAATGATTAGAGTCTTATATTGGACTATAAAAACAGACAATTGCTTATAATGATAGTGAAAAGGGTAAACTCATATAAATCTGCATACTTGTGTTTTTTAATATTTATTTTTATGCAAGGAATGAGGTCTAAGCTATACTGAAATGTCCTTTTACCTTGGAAAAACGTTGACATATAAAGCAAACTTATAAAGCACAATCTGTTGATAGATTGTCGTGGCGCTATATGGGACACCCCCTGCTCAAATCTGTCATGCTGTCTTCAGAGAGGACGGCATTGGTAAAGCGCTGAGTCATAAAGCCATGTGAGCTGTTAGACAATTAGGACTAAGAAGTGGCACACAGCACATTTAACTGGAGACGTGCAGAGAGACCAGGTAGCATACACAACCTGCTCACCTTGTTACCTGAACTCGGGAGGGGGGGGGGGGGGGGGGGGGGGGGGGGATGTGACATATTTTAATAATGCACTTGTTTGAAATTCAAGTTAATCTTTTTACATTCATATTCATGCTTCTGTGAATTCAGAAAGTGTGTCTTTCTTTCCCCCAACTCCCTATAGAGCAAAGTGTAATGGTTTTACTTTATTATTTATAGTAATCATCACATGCCACAGGACACTTCTTAGGAGACTTAAAATATCTTACAACTTGTTTATCTTTTCCCTGTCAATAAAATAAAGATCTAAAACATTTCTTAGTTTTAAATATATTGGCAGACTTGTATTTCAAGATCTAAAATCTCTCTACATCTGATTCAGGCCACATGACACAAAAACTCAAACATTTTCAAGGAAGAGTTTAAGAGCAATAGAAAAGTAAAACTCAGGTCTCGAAGATTTGATCTGCAATGGTGCTACATTTGAGTCACTTTCAAAATGTCACTTGCGAACGTCCTGTAAAAAGCTAAATAATTATAAAAACATGTCATCAACACGAAGTCCTTAGAAAACAGTTCCATATTTATTGCAAAATATTTTTGTACAGAATACAACTGAAAAAACATCAACAGAGGAGGAACGGACAGTAAGGCCAACATCAGAACTCCAAGAGCTGAACTGTACACCAATAGTAACATTTGATAGTGTTTTATACAGAAATGGTTTCCCGCCCTCACAGCGACCTCCTTAAGGGGAGAAAAATAAAGAACTCAAACATCACTGCTTCTCTAAAACATTATTGCCTTTGCGTGTAAACCCATCAACTTAGAACACCAATGGACGATCCTTAAAATGTCGCAATTTCCTTTACGAAACTTGTCCCTTTGATTGGTAATGTCTCACAAAATATAAATATATATACTTGTAGAAAGCTCCAAACAATATGGGACTGGTAACATTTTGGACGTGAGCATCACTCGTCATGACGGCTAAAGTCAGGATGCTAACACCGTTAGCTCTAACATCAGTGAGCAACACTTTTTATTTTGAATTAAATTAAATATTATTGTTTGCCTTAGGTTTACTTCACACTGCTAGAATAATTGAACCCTTCCTTGAGTTTGGAGGCATTTAGCATAGTGCGTCTAGATAAATTTGGGCGTGCATGCCCATGCACATCCTCATGCGATTTGGCACAGATGTAAAAGTTCTTTCCTCAAAGTAAAATGTGCGGTAAACGCGTCTCTCCGGCTCCTTCTTTTTTCTTTACACATAAAAAAAGGCAGAGTTAGACAGGATACATTTTTCTTCCCCGACATTCAAAATGTACATCTTTGACATTGGCTCTCCCAAAAATGAGGGATCTAATGAAGACAAAAAAACGTCCTGTCTCCGGATGTTTATTATAGAAAATTAAAATAGATACGTTTTTTTTTTCTTATATGCATAAGCCCTTCAAGAAAACACACCAAAACATTAGAAAGGACGAAGGTGATGTACAATCCAAAACTCCAGAGGAGAGAGGGTTTCTGCTCAAATGACTCTGTGCGGAGGGGAGACGGGGAACTCGAGGTGCAACACAACAATGTCACGTTTCTGCCCGTCGGATTCTAAATCTTACATGTCAGGGATAAATAACTGAACAGAGTCGCTGCTGCTGGCACCAAAACATTAGTACTACGCCAGTCAGATAACAGACACTAACACAATGCTTCAAAGCTGACCGGGAAGCTTCAGGAACTTTCTTTTCTATTTGAAGACAATTGTTGCCTTTCTGCAAACATTCATTTTACTAATGAGAAATAAACTGATGCTTTAGTGAATTGGAATCACTATGCACAACTTTGTTGGTTTTATTAATGACCTTTTTCTTTCAGTGACCTTCCACTGAAATGAGGTACACTGCAGCTCTGTAACAATGTGTGTGGGGGATTGGGAGGGGGGGGGGCTCTTTGACCTGTTATGGATATCACAAGTGCTTTCAATGATTTGATACCCTGAGTAGAGGACATAGGCTTGGGGTGAAGTTCAGTAGAAACCCAAAAAAAAGGAACATTTTTGCCAAGCAACCACCGACTGAAAAGAAAAAGACATTACTAAGAAATACCACCTTTCACACATAAATAAAAGCCTGTACTGATCGGTACATTAAAAACCACAAATGTAACCAGAGAGAAATAAAAGCTACGACGACGACAAATCACCCATGACGACACGGTCATTTTCAGCTTTACAATATGCATATATTCATGCATATATAGTGTGTATTTCCCCTTGCATACAGGCGAGTGGTCGGGGGACTATATAGAGAGCCTTTAGTTATACCAACTCCCTCTGCAGAGACTAACACTGATTATTAAGAGATGGTAGAAATGAGAGCAAACATAATTCACGAGGAGACGGGGACTGAGTCAGCGCAGCCTTGTAAACAAAAGGGAGGCCAGACAGCCAGAGAGGATGATGGGTAACAGACATCCACTTAAAGCAGCAAAGATAGGACAGATTACTGGAGGTAGAGACAGGGTGGGGAAAAGAAGAGGTAAAGGAGGGGGAGGGGGAGGGGGAGGGGGCAGTAGCATTTTCTCCCGGAGGCCAAGGGAAGCCAGGCTTCCCCTGTTTTTTCGGATTGTAGTTATAATTTAAATAAATAAATAAAAACACTTTGTTTTGTTTCGATAACTCTCCTTTGCTGTGTGTTGCTGTCGGCCCGTCTCTCCCCCATTCTCATTGAGTATTTTACAAAGAGTGAAACAAACAGCGCCCCTCTAGATGTTATGGTGAAACAGTAGATTGCACTCACTATTGCGAGAGGAGGCCAGCCGAATCTGGCTTCCCTTGGTGAAAAAAAATGGAGGGATTGACCAATCAGATGAGGCTCACGTGATGCCCCTGCCAAGCTGTGATTGGTCAGGGCCATGCCAAGGGAAGCCAGAGGCGGCTGGCCTCACAATCCAATCAAATCGCATCAACTTAGTGGTGCAGTGACGCGTTCTAAAATCCGGAAGTAAACTGCTCTCGGTTTCCCTCGACAAAAACGCAATGAGATTTCTCCATAGGATTTTGGAAAATAGCTCGAAATAAGGTCAGTGGAAAACGAACCTGTTAGATAAATGCAAGTTTTGTTCAGCCGGATAATATCCACATGTCTACCCTACTTTTATAATTTTCTAATCATAAATCTAATCGATAGAAGATAGATAGCGTCACTGCATCACTCTCACCGCCGTTAGAAAGTAGCAAGCAACTGAAGCAAGTGCAATTATGGAGGGTGGAGATTTGGAGTATTTCATCAAAAGTAATTGTAGGCTACTAAACTTCCGCTACAGCAGCAACAACAAATACAATCTGATGACAGGCCAATGCCCAAACTGGAGCTGTTTACAGCGAGGAAAAAAGGAACGAATCGGACGTAACACGTTAAAGGTCTCCTGATTTAGTTTGTGAATGAATGCTTATTAGAGTTTGGGCTGGAGAATGCGTGCGGACCTGTCGGTTAGATAACAGGCGTGTGTAAGTCCTGCATCTGATACAAATGTGTGTAAAATGATACCGGGTGCTGTAATCACTCATCTGGTTACGTTATTACATTGACCACCACCCCCCCGACCCAAAAGAAAGGACGTATTATTGGCTTCCCCTAATTTTTTTCCCACGCCACGCTACTGGGAGGGGGGGGGACATTTTTCTCATGGCTAACCAATTAAAGTACAGAAAATTGTCAGCATGGCCTCACGACGTCTGCTTCCCGTCGGGTTTTGGCGGAACAATCAGTTCTGACGCCGAAAAATTATCTGAGAGGGAAACTACTCAGAATGTAACAAAGAACGGACTCTCAGCAGTGTCTCTTATGGAGAAGCAACCTACAGGCTGAGTAAGTGTTCAATCGGAGGGGGGGAGAGAGGGGTGAGCAGGAGGGTGCGACAAGCAGACACAGGTCACTGGTTTCCCACTCTCTCCCCTCTGTGGTTGGTCACTCAGACGAACAGCTGGATGCGCTCGCGGATGGTCTGCCGGCAGATGGGGCAGGTCTTGAGCGCGGCGCTGCAGTCGATGCAGGAGGCGTGTCCGCACTGGAAGACCAGCTTGATGTGGTTGTCGATGCAGATGGGGCAGGTGATGCGCTCCTCCATCTGCCGGTAGCGGGACTGCAGCTGCTCCAGCAGGTTGTGCTGCTCCGAGTTCTCCGTGCCGGGGCTGCAACCCACCTCCGTTTGGTCTGTGGGGGAAGAGGGGGGGTCAATATGGGGGATGGCAGAGCGATGAAGTTTACAGATTTGGAAAATAACTGTAGGTTATTGTGCACTTTGAAAAAACACGCCTGTTAGCTACTGTACATGTATCCTGGCTTTAAAATTGGGGAACATTGATATCAGGACTGCAGAAAGGTAACACATCTTCCATTAGATACTGAAAAAACAACCTGTTCAGTCTGCACCTTGGCCAATAATGAATCAAAACAAATTCTCACTTCAGTTTAAAGCACTTTTGGCTAGGCTTTGGCCTTTTAAAGCCAGTGCAGTAGCACATACAATGGTTTGAGTCATTGAATGCTAATGTACTTTGTATTTGTATCACCACTGTTACAGTAGATGCACCTATTATAAGTTGCTTTGGATAAGAGCATTGGCTAAATAAATTGTGATGTCATATTGTTTTCCAACAGAAGTTACATTTATAAATCTGTGCAGGCTGTCCCGTTGTGTCACTGTGCGACTGCAGCAAAGATAACAAGGTCACATATAACAGCACCTGACCATGGGTCTAGTATGACTCAAAATGCCAGACAATTTTATTGGTGGCTCGTCCTCGACATAGGTGCTTTAATCTACCATCCAAAGTTGCCTCTCACTGACGACTGGTGATCAAGGCATTAAAACTGTGTTCTTAAATAACAATACAGAACATGCAGATAATAATTTACATCATTCAAAACAATGCTGTAAGCCAAGGAATAATATAGAATATTTTTGTCCAGAATAGGAGTATATAAAGAAGACTTTTACTGTGTTGACAAAAAAATCTTCCATATTTCATTCAACTTTTATTATCTTACACATCTAAGATGAAAGAAGAGGGTTAGAGGAGACAAGATTCTCATTACCTTGTCTAATTTTCTTGGTGATTGTGACTTGGCATTTGATGCATTTCTTCATTCGATGGGCACATTCTGTTTGGAGAAGATGCAGGTCAGCAGGAGATACAAATAAATTACAACACGTAAAGCACCACATTATTTAACATCCAAGATAGACAGTAAAGCAGAAAATAATATATATAAAAAGTTTTCTTAAGGAAAGCCATTTAGTATGTTTTCTTTGAACACACAAGTCAGTTATCTGCCTATTGATAGCCGCGGCCCTGCTGCCATTAACGTAACCCACCTTCACAGGCCACGCTGTGCTGGCAGGGGCAGAAGAGAACCAGCAGAGACAGCTCGGAGCAGATGAGGCATTCACTGGGCCCCGGCAGGTTGGGAAGAACCAGGTTGGTCATGGTGTTGGGCGTGGTGTGGACCCGCCGCAGGCTGGCGCTGCTCAGACCCTGACCACATGTGATGGCTTGCAGACGCTGCAACCTGACAGACAACACACAGCTATAACAACGCATACAGATTTATCTTAACTTCACTATGTTTATGAGCTCATTCTGTCTTTGAAGATGAATACAGGATTACTATTAAAGTACAGAACTATTTCTGCAAAAATCTGATTTCTGCCTTACTTTGAATTAATAATACAGTACTTCTAAAAAGGTGTTGGCACAATCGAACCCTACTCTGGCTTATAATCCAGTGTATTCAGTAATGATATCCAAAGGCATTGTGAGTGTGAGCACTTCTCTTCCTGACGTGTACCTGTGTTTCTCAGAGAAGCTCTTGATGAGCTGCATCATGGTGCTGTCTGCCACCAGGTCCAGGGGACTCTTTCCCTTGTGGTTGGCGTAGTTGATGTCGGCCCCTTCCTGCGCCAAAAAACAAGCGAGGGCTGCACCAACACTCAGCTCGGTGTTCCCCAGAAGACCTGAAGCGCTCAGCTGTGGATACACATGATGACAACGGGAAGAGAGGATGGAAAATAAGTTTTTGAGGCAGAGCTTTAGAAATGTATTCTTGCTAAGGCTGAAAATAACTGTACATGGTAGAAGAATACTTTGAGAACTAAGTCAAGGACACAGCTGTTAGTGAGCAACAAAAGGGAAGTTGTAGTAAACCAGCACAGGCCAGCTAAGGCCGAACCATAAACCTAAATCTAACTAATTCCCCAATAATTCATCTGCTGACAGTGACCAAAATTGGCTGGGCACTTCAGTCTAGCCACCTTCATGGGTGTGTGGGTGTGTGTATTAAGTGTGTGTGTGTTGTTTTGGCAGAAGCCCAGGGTGTTGAGTACAGCTGCAGTGTTTGCGGTCATGTCAACAGCAAAGGACGTCCTTTATTGGATCAATGATATCAACTACAATGATGTATGAAACGCATTGAGCCAAGGTATCTTGAATATTTAATGAGTTATTGTAAACTCTCTGACAAGCATGAAGGAAATTAAAGAGGTGGTGGGATATTAGAGTGTTATGTACTTTGTGAGAGGTGCCTCTGCAAAATGCTGCAGGAGAGACTCCTCAACCCTGAAATCTAGTGAGCATTTTTGCACTACTGGTCAATGGGTTTTTAAAAAATAATTGTTTTAGTTGAAAGTTTAAGAGATTTGAACCTTCTATAACAGAAAATATACCTTTGCCCACATTTAGACGGGGCAGTGATATCATAAACCTGTTAATGTACGCATTCAAACACTTGTTGTTTTATCAACTGTATTCACCTTGCAGGTGTGGCTTTTATCCTGGATAAAGTGTTTAAGTCATGGATGTTTAAAGTTTAACGTCTTCATATGGTCTAATATTATAGTTTACTTTTCATTCAGGAAAATGTTGCTAGCCCCGCCCCTTTCATGTGAACGCGCACTCAGCCGGACAGAGAAACCCTGGCTTGAGTTACCGAGTTGATAACCAGCGTCGTAGGACCGCTTAGCGAGAGCGTGTTTGTTTTGGATTAGGTAAACCGGCTAACTCAAACATATCCAAGGTATGTTGAACTGGTGGTGGCATTTAAGCTTCAGAAAACATAAACAAGGTGTTCATTTGTAAATCGTACCATTACCTTTTTCTTGCTACATGTCTTACTTTTGGCAATAATCCCGGTTCAAATGTAAATATCCAACTGGTTATGATTAACAAAAAAAATGACCTAACTTTAGCTTGACACAGAATTTGAGTGGCTTTCAGCCTCTTGTCTTTTATGACTCACATCCTGAGATGTACCCACTGTATGGGACCTGCTCAGCACCAAAAAGCAATCAGACACATTTGTTGAAAAAAGTAAAGCATTTAAAGCAGCTTAATAACCTGATATTATTCACCATAGGGATTTTATAAGGCGATCGTGTGTCAGTGTTGTGTTTACAGTTTGTTCTGCTGAACCCAAGAGGCAAACATCTATTCAATCCAGTTTAATGTTACTAAACTCCAATTAATAATCGCGTGCACACCTTATTTTCATTTGGAGCTTGTTTAGCTGCATTTATGATTCATTATGCTTGCTTGCCTTAATAAATATTAACGCTGCCAATACTAGTTAGTTGTTGACTCCAGTCACATGGAAGGCTCAAATTAATGAAGTGTGTTCATATCAAAGTTCAAGACATCCTCTGGGGGAGAGACTGACATGGTGTGTGTACACAGTATTTCTAAATTGAAATGTATTATCGAGAGCTCGTCTTTGCCAAATCTACATTGCAACACTAAGTGGGCCCTCTTGCCTCTCTGCCCCTCATCACTTCCTTTTCCCTTCATCACGCCATCGTTCTCAGTCTCTTGCCAGTTGTTGCTCTTAAAGCCTCTGAGACGAGGTGATCTTAATGAATCGTAAAAGTCGTGACCTTATAGCTTAAATTCTTGTGGTTATAACAAATAATTGTGTTCGTTTTTCTCCAGAAAACAAAGCAGTACAAAGCAAACTCTTTTGTCTTACATACTAATACCACTTTTATTTAATGACGTTCTCCTCAGTTAACCCCTCTCTCTTGCCTTGTTTACATAATCAAGCAATGTCCTCTGTCCTCAGTTAACCCAGACCTTTGAGAAATCCCACCTGACTTCTCTTACACATTCATCCCCGTGTACCTGCTAAAGCCGGTTAACTCCTTTATCCTAAATTGACCCTGCACACAATTACTAAACACCTTTACATTCCTTCCCTCTGTTTTTGTTTACTATTCCCTCTCTCCTTCAATATAAGGTCAGCTCTTAACCCTTAAGTCTTTTATTTACGCTCCTTTTAGTCTCTAAAGTGCATTAATCCTTTTTTCCACCTCTTATCCTAATCTACCCGCTTTTTAGTGTCTGTTTATCCTTCATTCAGTCTATATTTACTTCTCTTTTAATGTTTCACATACTCCTTTAGTGTTTGATTTGTTGTGCTTTGTCTCTTTAGTAACCACCTATTCAGTTTGTAGTTAGACCCTCAACAGTCTCAAGTATGTGTAACCTTCAGGTCTTTTGAAAGTTGTGTCGTCTCTTTTCAGCTCATTCTGCCCCAACAATACCTAGAGTTCAAAGGTGAAGCATCACTCGATTGCTGTCGTTACATTTTAACTTCTTTCCATTCGAGTAATGTGAATAATAACAGAATAACAGTCAGTTAAGGTTTGAATAGATCAAATTAATACTATTTGCTATGGTCTGTAAATGTAGACAGATATATCATCAGCAAGTTTGGGCGACGAATAGTCAATTGTAAATGCTACGTTTTTTAGGTTTATATATCATTTCTTGTATAAATACTGTATTTTCAGTAATATGACGTAAAACTGCCAGTTTGACATTTTAACAACAGTTTTCCCCTAAACCAGCTAGACCAAAGATACATACATCTAGTTGCTCATATAGAAAGAAATAATAAAACATTAGTTACATAAAACAAAGAGTGGTTCTCACCCTGCAGTAGAGCGATGTGGAGGAGCACCCCTCGCTGGGCTCCTCGGTGCTGCTGGTCCCCACGGGGGGGCTGAGCATCACGCTGGCCAGCTGCGGGCGGAGCAGGGCGACGTGCATGGCCGTGTCTCCGTCCTCGTCCTCCATGTTGACGTCGGCGCCCTCGGACACCAGCAACTGCACCAGGTCCGTGTGGCCCTGCGTCACCGCCAGCTGCAGCGCCGTCTGGTTCCGGTTGTTACGGATGTTGATTTCGCAGCGTCCCTGTGGAAGAGGGAGGAGAGGAAATATGTATATCATCTTTTTTATTTAAATTTCAAAGGTTGAAAATAATGGTGGCTACAAATTGTACCGCCATATTGTACTATTATCACATATATCACATTTCAATGACATACAATACTTTTATATTTCATTTACATAGTATACTTTATATATTTATCACATATTAAACTATTATATTTGTATAACATACTATAATATTTCATTGTTATGACTTAATATACTAATATATATTTAGAGAATCTTTTAAGAAAATCATACTTTTCTATTTATGACACATTCAAATAATATTATTTCATTTACTTCATAATTTCTAAGAAAATAAGTTTAGTATGATATGCATTAAGAATGTCCTCTTTTTTTTTGGGCCCTCTTGACTCTGCCCTTCATCACTTCCTTTTCCCCTTCATCACGCCAGTACTCTTTCCAGTATTTGCTCTTAAAGCCTCTAACACCAGTTGATCTTAATGAAACGTAAAAGTCGTGACCTTTAAATTCTCTTAGTTTTTGTTAATTGTCCTTAAAAAACAAATACAAATAAGATCACAGTTAAGCAAAGTATCCAATCAGATTAAAGAGGACTCTGCTGCAGCTCACCTCCTTGACGAGGATCTCGGCGACGTCGCGGTGGTTGTTGAGCGCGGCCAGATGTAGCGCGGAGAAGCCGTCCTCCTTCTTGACGTCCACCAGCTGCCGCGCTCTGCCCAGGATCTTCTCTGTGGCCCTGCAACCAGGACAACAAAAACAACACTCATTAAGGAGAGTGCACAACACTCCTCAAGGCTCATAGCTTGAATAAAGAACATTTACATCTGTGATAGTTGCCAACCACAGTGCTTTTTACTGGACCATCTAATTAAAAAAAATTGCTGAATGTTGCTCTCACCAGAAAGAGTGCCAAGGAGAATAAAAAAGGGTTCTGAAATATATGAAAGTGCTCACAAGGTCTGTGGATTAATTTGAGTATCTGAGGTATGATTTCAAGAAAAAGTCCTCGATGAAGAGTTTTAATTGTAATTGTTTGCAATTCAAGCATGACGAGCATAGATCCATTATAGTGGAGAACACACTGCAGACTGTATGCAGCTCTCAGAATATCTCACATCATTCTGTGTCGCGGTGTACTTGACACGATCTGGGACAGAGACGCAGCTGTTGTTAAAGTGTTAACAAGCCGATCTAACAGGAGAACACTAAGGCACAACAGGCAGCCTCTTCTCACTTAGCCAACTGATCTCCTGATGCACAACTAACCCCCCCCTACCCCAAGAGTTACACATGCTTTCAACTTTAAATAGCACATCACTGTTATCCTTTGAGCCTGCCATCATCATATCCAGTATTGAACCACAGAAAAAAATTCCCAGCCAACACACATTAAACGATTAAATATCTCAATGTGGAAATGTTTAACATGCTTTGGTGCTCATTTAGTTTGGTCAGATAGCAGTCTGTTCTCTTTAAACTGAGGAGGGATGATGATATTCGATGAAGTGATTGCAGCTTGTCTTGTGTTTCCTGCAGCGGGCTGATGCTGCAGTGTGAGGCCGGGCAGCACTGTGGTCCTCTGCTCTGAAGCTGGGCCTGCTTTATGACGTGTGAAATTGAAGCTGACAGGCTCAGTGAGCACCTAGGAAGCTGGCATGCCACCACGGAGGCTTCGGAGCGATGTGACCCAACCTCTCTATGGATTGTTGGGCTCACTGTTTTGAAACACTGGTGATGCTGATGTCAAAAGATGACGCTGGTGTCGGTTTTTGTTACAGACGGTTGGACAGAACACAAGGGATGCTCACTACTCCCAGATTAATATTAACATTTACCTCTTAGTGATGTAGAAAACTAAACAATGTAAAGGCATTGCTCGGTAACTGGCTTGCACAACATCAAAGCTATTCATACCCAATGAGTAACAAATAACTTATCACAGAGCAATAACACAGCTTCTTAATAGCAAATCCAGCCATAGAAAAAGCAAACACTTTCCATGCAAATGATACAAGAGTATTTAAGATATTCAGTCAAATTGTTTACCTTGAATGTGAATTTTCCTGAGAACTTCTCATTATGTAATGTTATTTTAAAAGGCTCTCTTCTTAGTAATTGTTATGCACAATTTTGTAACTGTAACTATGACAATGTCCTACCTACAGTACTATCTACCTCTTATTTAAAGTAAAAAAGTCACTCCACCTTAAAGCTTAATTAATAACTATGATTATAAATACTAAATCAACATTTGAATTCTGCGCAGATTCTTCTTTGTTCTTTTAAACCTGGTTATTCTGTTACAGTAAGACATTAGGGTACAGTCATATTATTAGTATTGGATCTGTAGAATTAGATGCCAGTGGTGGTTGACTAGGATTGTTACAAAACACCCAACAAATCTAAGTCAAAATGTATAGAAACAAATCTCAACATCTTAAGAATGATTCTGTTTCAACCCATATCTATTAGTGTTTCAGTCTTACAGCACCATACATTATAGTTCTATAACCACAATAACCTTCATTTGAAACATCAAAAGAAGCTTTGGATGTCAAAAAAGAACGCTTTTTATAGCCATAACAAAACAGTTATTTGGGACATAAGAAATAGTTTCTGCACATAACTTTTATAAGCATAAACACTTAATGACACAATCATTAACATAATGGCAGTTGTATATTAATGTCTTAAATGATGCATCTATTCAGAGCTATCGTTTCTATATTACATTGTATAAATTCACCCAGTGGTGTACAGGGAACCTGATAAATGCAGTTATTTTTTAATCAGTTTAAAAAACGGGGCACTTATATTGCAGCTTTAATTGTGATAACCATAAAATACAGTGTTCACAGGCTCATTAGCAGCAGAATGCAGGTACATTTAAAATACAATACTGAGGACAGGGAGGGTAAAGGCTGCTCTATTGCATGGTGGTGGGCATCTCCTCTGGGTGTATTACTAAGCATGAAAGCTGTTGGGGAGACATTATGTTAGAGGTCATTTGTACCTGCAATGCAGCTCCGTGGGTGTGTGTATGTGTGTGGTGAAGGTATTGATGGAGGGAAATATCATTTCTTCATTAGCTAAAGGGCACACCCTTGAACAACACAGACCTGTGTCCCCTTTGTGTCCACTACACCTTGTCTTTCTGCATTAATCCCATAAACTCATTCATATTCATATCAAGGCTGACATTGTGGGGCAGTTCTTTTACTAACATGCCTTCACACAAATCAGGGGACTTTTTTTTCTTCTGGAGGCATCTTTTGGATATTTGTGGGAGTCAGTACCATGAGGGTTTTGCCAATTACCTCCAGATCAAAGCTTGATAAAAGAAGGAAGAAGAAATGTACCATGAAGAGTTACTGTTCTGACTCTCAAAGGCACGATTTAAGTGAAAAAGAAAAGCTTTTGATGTTGTGTATAATTTGCTAAAAGAGTGAGTATGCTGTGAAATGTATCTGTCGTGTGTCAGACAGTTTACGTTGGACTGTCAAAACGCATTGAGTAAGCACAGAAAGGCAGAGTAAATGAAACTGGTGGGAAACTAAAAGGGATCTGGTGAAAAAAAAACAGCTACTAGGACATGAGATTAGTGGAAAAAGGGAGAAATCCAAGCCAATATTCTTTAAAAAAAAAAAAAAAACAGTATACAGTATCTTAACTATCCTTTGCCTGTTCTGTCAAACTAAAGTCCAGAGGAAATCTGGCTGCTTGCCTTGTTTATTTTCTTTCCCAGGCACCGTTTGTGAACATGGCCTCTAGCCCTCTTTTTCCATTTCCGCACAATAAATAAATATTACGCCAATAAACATTCTCATCTATCGGTCACAAAAAAACCACAGCTGCTCGCAGGAAGTTTAAACAATGGTGCATCGAACAAATAAACTCCTGCATTTTAAGGATGATCTTTACGTACAAAGCGAAGGACAGTAAAGAAATCATCAACAGACTAACTAAGGGAAAAATATAAGGCAGAGGTCAAAAGTGTACATTGGAAAAAACAGTGGAAGAATAAAAAAGCACAACAAATACAACTATAAATGACTCGACAAAGATTAGTCTAATGTAAATACAACATAAAAGCAACGAGGTGTTTAGCTTTAACCCAATTCCTTCGCAAAATCCAATCCAATTTGTTTTCTAGACAGAACAAACTAGGACATACAGACACGTAGCACCTGTGCTGTATAAATGTACTGTAGTCCTGCCGGTGATATATGAAGGAACCGGTGAACCAAAGCCAGTCCTGAACACTGTAAATCCTGTGTCTCTGCTTCTGGTGCAGCGGCTGATGTCAAGTTAAATAAATGCTGGGGAGTGCAGCCTAAACTCCCACATATGATACTTGCCAGAACAGATCGGACATTTATTAAATGACTTGTCTACTGCGGCCCCCACTACCGTCCTTCTCTCCTCTCTCTCTTTACATTTATTGCTTGCCCGCTGTCTTTTATTCCATCCTGCTCAGTTGGCTTTTGCCCATATGGAAAGTAACAGGGTACATATACTCAAGTACTGTACTTAATACATAATATCATTTTACTCCACTACGTTTAATAATCACTGTATTATTTATTAAGCTTTAGTGACTTTTCAGGTTAAGGTTTTGTATTCAAATTATTGATTAACTTGTAACATAATGCATCTTTAAGAATTAAACACTTGTACTAACTGTTTAAGGTACAAAAAAGAACAATTATACAATATATCGCAAAAAGTTCTTAACATTGATAATTTGTGAAAGAAAATGTTGCCCGTCTACAACAGTAAAATGCTTCTTAATGCAACAATATGAATATATCAGATAATGTCATATATTTAATAATATATCACATATTGAGGCAATTTTTCCGCATAATTAGTACTTTTACGTGAGACTGTATATACTGTATTGCATTAATGTATTGCTACTTTTGCTTAAGTAAAGGATCTGAATACTTTTTCAACCACTGATCATAATCCATTCATTTAATATAATTCTGAAATGGGCCTTAAGCATTACAAGTACTTTAAGTATATTCTGATGCTGATACTTTTACTAAGATTTTTGTAACGGAGTACTTTTACAAATTAAGTATTGCTACTTTTACTTAAGTAAAACGTTTTTTTTGTAGGATCTCTTTCAAGTTGTGTACAATTCTGCAAATGTGAGTCACTGCTAGGAGAAGTTTGGAGGGCGGAATAAAGCTTTCCTTTGCAGTAAAAGTGGATTAACTTATGGTCATTATTCACTGGTTTAGTACCTTACAGAGTGGAAAAAGTAGAAGTCCGCAGGCAAATGACCATAGGAGCAAGCTACAGTAATCTACTCACAGCCTGAAAATTACATAAAACACATTTTAAAAATCTCTAATTGAAACCCTAAATGAAGTGGCATTGCTTCAGGGAGAGGGTTTATGGTGATGCCTGTGTGTTATTTTCATTCCGGCTTCCTTTTCCTTCATGGCACCTCTTTAAAAAGAGCCGGGGACAATTTTCCATTACATGGCTTTGTTATAATTTTGGAGGGAAAGTTCATATGAGGTCGTAAATGCCCTGGAGCAAAGAAGCAGGAACCTCACCACGGTCAGGCGAAATTTGTGCACTGAGAAAAATATCATCCCTAAATAGTCACTCTATTTTTATGATTTTAACAGAATTACCTTCATTACCCTTTTTGGTTTCAAGACCTTGACTGCAGTGGAAATAACTTTTAAGGTTGTTTTCAAAGCATTTTTCTATAATGATTCAATGATGCTGAATAAAACAATGCACATATATAATATAATCAATGCAGGTCATTGCATAGTGCAGACAGTCTTTAAATAGCATATCCAAGTGCAAAGTGCACAACTGCAGATGCTGGCTTGAAAAATTGCAAAAAATGTGGAATTATATAACATGTTTAGGCCAATACATAACATTTAGGTTTTTTAAGGGGTCCTACTATGCTCATTTTCAGGTTCTATTTGTATGTTGTGCCCGTTGTGCCTCTACTGAGACATGTTTACATGCTTTCATGTTCAAAAAGGTCACCTCTTTTCACCCTCTGTCTGAAACCAGAGCCCAGTCTGCTCTGATTGGTTAGCTGGTGTTACCCGTTTAGATATGTCCCGCCCCTTAGCCTTTCACATACAATGTGTTTGAGCGCTAGCCAATAGAAGCACTAGTGTTAAATAGTGATGTCACTATGTTATAGAAGTAAACAAAAGGGTATCGAGGTATCGAGCTTTCGGCAGCGGCTGGCCCTAGGCTCTGGAATACTTTGCCCCTCCATGTGAGGTCGGCCCAGACCCTGGGGGTTTTTAAATCAACACTTAAAACTCACTTTTTCTCTTTGGCTTTTGTTTAATTATCTATTTATTCATTTATTTATTTAGTTAGTTATTTATTTATTCATTTAGTTCTTTATTTTAATATTTATAACATAACATAGGATTTCATAAAGTATTTTTAAAATAGTTTATACATTATTCAAATTAGAAATAGTAGATAGGATTACTTAAAATATAGTACCTTATATTTCATCTTTTTTCCCTTTAGACCCTTGCGGTTTATTCTTAAAAACCCTTACCCTGACCCACCCCCCATTTTCCCTCTGCTGGTCTATGGCCTTGTAAAGGGTAACGGGGTACAGAGTCGCTTAGATAAGCGGGGGAGTGCATCTGACGAAGAGATAGGTTGTTGTGCTCCCTATCTCTGTTTCTTATCCTATATCTAATAGAACTGCTCGGGTCTTGATAGATTGAGTGGGGAAGTTCATGAGATCTTTCTAGAGAGTTATCAAGAATAACTTTTATCCAATGACCTTTTCCCTCTCTGTCTGTGTCTGTGTATTCTCTTGTTCCGATTAACCCAGCCAAATCTTTTTTCTTGTTTTGTATCTATATCTACGCCGGGATCCGGAGTCGAGGCTGATCCTCTTGCTGTAGTCCTGTGTCTTTGATCCTCTATCCTGAGTTCTGGATTAAGTCGTGGACTTCGGGTCGTGGCTGAACCTGTCTCTGCAGTCCTGCCTTGGGTCTCGCCATGCTGCTTCCCTGATGGCTTCCACAGGATTGTAGCTGACATCCTCGTGGATTCATCTTCTTATTACAGACACATGCATTTCCTAACATTCGGTCTATGCTGTAAAATGTATTATCTCTTCGATTTAAACACGGCATTTATTGCACGTCTGTCCGTCCTGGGAGAGGGATCCCTCCTCTGTTGCTCTCCCTGAGGTTTCTCCCATTTTTTCCCCTTAAACTGTGGGTTTTCTCTGGAAGTTTTTCCTTGTACGATGTGAGGGTCTAAGGATAGAGGGTGTCGTTTTTCTCATACTGATATTCTGAACAATCTGTGCTGTTATATTTGCTGTAAAGTGTCTCTACTGTAGGCTATTTTTATTATATGTACAGCACTTTGGCTCGACCAAAAATCGTTTATAAATGTGCTATATAAATAAAACTTGAATTGATTTGATTTGAAAAGAGTCCAATGGTATTTTAAAAAAAAAGGATCCATCACTTTTAGTTTGTTCTCTCTACATTTCGGGGAGTGTGGGACAGAGAGTTGTGTTTGGGGAGGAAACCTTATCATTGTGAGAACCTTGAGTTGTGTTTCTGCCTGTCTGCTCAGTGCGGCATCAAGGCACAGATTGTGATTAAGCACCTCTAGTGTTTACCAGGCGAAACCAACACAGTCAGAAGACAACGGAGCCTTTGAAACATCCAGGTGTCAGTGAGCCAGCCTTGGTGTTCACCTCAGTGTTGTGGGAAATGACAGAGCTGAAACTTCACTTGTCACTGAGGGGTCTTCATTTCAGTAAGCAATTTCCAAAAGGATTTTTTGTTTGATATGTTCACCCAAAATAAATGTGTTTTCCTTCTCCCTCTTCAAAAGTGCTTCAACACACAACCTCCCAACAAGTCATGAAAAGCTTTCACAAGTAGGTCTTCGCTGGTCGTCGGAGTTTTACCTTTTTTTATTTGACATTTGAGTCCCTGTTCCTGCATTGATGGAAAATACCTGCACTAAATGTGGAAGAACAAGTCCATCAGCAGGGATCCAGGATGCAAAAGTAAATGTTTTGTGCATTTTTTCCCCTGATTTTGGCGGCCAGCCTGCTGACAGCAGCAGAAGCTGTGTGCGAGATGAGCTCTCTATCTGTAATGGATATTTGTTGAGAGTTGACCTTTGAGTCCTCATGAGATTCGGCCTCACACACACTCGCCCATAAAAAAACTTTTTCCAGGTCAAATATATGCCTTCAAACCACCAAGAATTCGAGAAAAACTAACGTCACACTCTGGACTGGATTTCTGTCTCTTTGAATCTTAAAGATGCACACTGTTGACCTTGTTTGGTGTCCTGTTAACAGTTTAAACAAACATCTCTTTATGTGTTCAATGGGGGAAATATTTTTTGGACCTTTTTCGCTGAAATGATGCGATTGGCCACTGGCAAAAAGCAAAAGTAAGGCCACAAATGCAGGTCTTGTGTAAACACGCAATACAATTAACTATCACTCATTAGAAGAGTGAAAAAATACATCTTCAAAGTATTTATTTGGCTGTAATTCAATAGCTCAGAATGTAAAAATACCTTTTTTTATAAATGGTGCTTACAAATGTGCAATAATAAAAAATTTAAATTGCCAAGGGAAAACCACCAAAATGTTGGAGTAATTACGAAAGTACTATAAATGCACTAATCCTGCTATAATGACCCAAGAAGATCTCCACTTAATTGAAGTGACTTAATATAAAAATATAAATAATAACCTTCTCATTAAAATGTGATAGATCTTTTTTAACAATAGATTTCATTGGTCACTTCCTATTATATGTTAGGCGCCTGGGTGACAAGCTCCCAGGAAGTCTGCAGACGTTGATGCAATATTTGGTGGCCAAATGGTGGTACTACAACTTATGGGCCCAAAAAGACTTTTTCTCATTGAGTGAGAATGTCTGTACATCAGCAGATTTTATTTTTTTAGCTAAATCAACTACCCAGTAGGACCCCTTTTTATAGCCCCTATGTTAATCAATTGGGTGTTGCGCTTAAAGCCAAAACCAGAGTTATTTTCCCTCTTCATTAATTTCACTGAGACGAGATCGGCCTAAACGCACAGACTAGTACAGGTACTTTTGCTCTCGAGATTCAGGCCATTGGACATATGCTCTACTCACAGTTTGTTTCCTTTGAGGGCAGCGTGGTGCAGCAGGTTGAAGCCTCGATGGTTCTGCTGTGTGAAGTCAATGTTGGGCACCAAGACCAGGATCTCAATGATATTGCGGAAATCTTTAGCGATGGCGTCATGGAGCGGTGTGTCCCCATATGAATCCTGATTGGGGGAGAAACAGTTGGTTTTTAAAGTGGCCTAGTAAGAGAGACTTTCACACATTAAGCCAGTACGAGATATCCGGGCCTATTTGTTAGTCATGCTGAGACATGATGACACAGCAACATTTAAATTACCGTTTAAAATGAAATGGCTGAAATCTAGACAGTTAAGAGTGTAATGGATGCTGCAGTTAATTCTAATTATGTAGAGTAATAATAATAATAATAATAATAATACATGGGACTTTTATAGCGCTTTTCATGAAACAAAACAAAAACAAAAAGCCTCTAGGCTTTCACTCCATGTGTTTAGATGAGCAGACACAGTACTCAAGCAGAACAAATAAGCTGTTAGTGAATTCGGGGGTATGGTTGCAGGCATGTGAGACCGTCTGGAAAATGCCCTACTAAGACACTACAATGCTTGAGTGAATATTCAAGGTTTTTAGATAAATAATATGCAAGGAGTGGAAAAATAAGAATCAAACACTTAAATCTTCACTAGTATTTGTTCAGTATTGCAAAAAATAGTAATGAAAGGCCAATCAGAAGCATGTCAGGGCCTCTCACCTGGAGATTGACATCAGCAGAGTGTTCGGTCAGCACTCGCACCACGTCCGTGAAGCCCTTGTTGACGGCTATGTGGAGGGCCGTGCACATGGAGTTGTTCAGGAGGTTGACATTTGCTCCCTTGCTCAACAGCAGCCGGGTGATATCTGCCTGGTTACTAAACGGAGATGAAGAATACATTGGAAAAGATGCAGATTAATCATCACTGTTATATATTTATTGTGATTCAATATTTCCAAACAGTTCTCTATTCAAATTCATTCAAACCAGTATTTGAAATCTCAAATGCCTATTCTGAAATCCTGGACAAAGCTCAAGGGTTGCATACTAAGTGACAGTAATATCCCTTTTAAGAACTGCCATTTTGTTTGCATGGTGCACCACTGCTGCAAGTGTTAATTCCTGAAGAGATTTTGAAAATGCTGACTTCACGAGTATATGGTAATGTGACATGTGTCACTAGGACTGGCTTACCTAAAGCCAGTTGAGTAGCACTTGAAATGTTTTTGCTCTATGAAACCTGATGTACTTATATGATTCTGTTTTCTTCAAGTTTGTATTTTGTTGGTCGAACGCACTTATTGTAAGTCGCTTTGGATAAAAGCGTCAGCTAAATGCAATGTAATGTGAGGAGAGGATAAGACACAGCTGACTGATTAGGCAACACTTTAATGCGGTCACTTCTGTGAATGGATTATCACATTACAAGAAAAGACACAGACAGCTCTACTGTAAATCTGCCAGTCTGCAAGTCTTCCTTAAGACACAAGGAGAACCTTTGTACAAACTCAAACGTGTGCAAGAAAACTGTGTGTGTCCTTACCCAAAGGCAGTGTAGTGCAATGCTGTGTCTCCGTCTTCATCCTTAACCTCGATGGAGCTGTTGGCCTGCAGCAGGGCCTTCACCACCTCCATGTGTCCTTGGTGAGCAGCCACCTGCAGTGCAGTCTTGCCCTGGTTCTTTATATCCACCTGACGGCAACATAAAGGTGGAGCAAGACTCATGAGAGGCGGTAACAGCTTGGACATTAGGAGGTGAACATCAACACGTTGGTCCTACACTCGATACATAATCCCAATAAGTAGTGCAGTCATCAAGGCAAGGCAAGTTTATTTATATAGCACTTTTCAACACAAGGCAATTCAAAGTGCTTTACAAAAAATGAAAGACATTAAGAAAAGGGCATTTAAAATCAGTCATTAAAAAGGCATTTAAAATCAGTCAAGGTAGAAATAGTCTTAAACATGAAAGTAATTACTTTTCTCACAAATGAATAAAAAAAAAAATCATCTGAGATTATACTATACATCATATGTAAAGGCAATTATAAGCGTGTTGTAAAACATTTTAAACCAACTGTAGGTCATAGCAATTTGTCAGTTAAATAATAGTGACTGAGCATTTCCGACATTGAAGTAGAAAATGAACAACAAGAAAAAAAACTGATTGTAAAATTAATATGGTTGATTCACGAAAGCCACACTTGAATTTTCTTATTATAAATATATATATTTTTGGTCGAAGAACATTATCGCCAACTCCTACTACTATATTACCACCTGTCTAAATTGAAAACAAATAAATCCTTTATTTAAGTGACTAACTTGTACTGAAAGTATTTTTCACAGGGCCAACATATCATTTTAATCTTGATTTAGCAATCCTAAATAGCCATAGTGTCCTCATTTCTCTCTGTAGATTAAATGTATAAATAGAGTAAATTACATAATAATACATAACAATACAACTTTATTTGTGAGAGGAGTTGCAGATTCTTTCAGTGACGTTACAACGTCTAAGAGTCAATACTTTAAAGAGACATTAGAGTTTGTCTGTTACGAGAGCTGTTATGTCACTCTGGCCCTTAAATTCCCCGCCCCCAGTCTTGGTGTCCCGGTAGCAAGAGCTCTTGGAACGGGCAGTGGACTGCAGCAGAGAGGAGTAGGGGTGCACTAACCTTGTCGGGATATTTCTGCACCAACTCCCGCACTTTGTTGGCACTGCCGTGCGCTGCCTCGATGACCAGCCGGCTGGGATTGTCCTGCTCCGTGGACTGAGAGAGCAGCTTCTCCAACACCGATATGACTGTACCTGCACAGAGACATAGGCAGGTGAAGGGAGGGGGGAGATGTTGTGAAAGAAGGGGGATAAACAAGAGAGACAAAGGGATTAATAAAGCTAAATCAGTCCAAAGTAAACAACATTATAAAAATTGTTTCGAAAAATCTTCCAGAGGGCTAAAATAGCAGACAGACAGGTTAGCTGAGCTCAATTCAAAACCACAGGAATGAGTCAAAATGCCCCCAATCTGACCACACACACACAGCACTGTTGCCAAGCTCCCACCCGCTGAGGTGAACACATGCACAGAGCTGATTTAGTCAAGGCGTGCTGCCAAAGCCTCTTGCTGTCAACATGCAGTATCATGACATGCAAGAGAGAAGAACACTTCAAAAAATGACAGCCCATAAATACACTGCTGAAAAAGAGACGGACAGGGAATGGCCATGACCATTTCCACAGCCTGAATGTGAAAGCATGCAGCTGGAATGAGGACAGGGGAGAATGAGAAAATGCCCGCAGAAGGTAAAGCCGGAGCTGGAGTGTTAGAGATGAGCCCCCTCGTCCCGGCAGAGGCCTTACTTCCAGATTCGTTGGGGTTCTCGGCCGTCATGAGGTTGGCGTCCACCTCCACCGTCTGGCCCGTGAGGCACGCTGGGTTGAAGGTCCACGTCTGGCCTCCGAACGCCACCCGAAGGTCACCATCCGCATATACTTTCAACACCTTCCCGGCCTGGCCGAGCACCTAGGGACAAAAACAGTGAGTAAGGCGGATGTGGTATGGGTGGGTGAGAAAGAAAGAGTAGAATAGTAGATAACAATGGAGAAGGTTGACAAATAACCAGGCTGAATTCACAGAAGCATCTTTAAATTTGATTACTTCCTGATGTTCACACAATTTTTGGGAAGTAGTTCACTTTTAATTCTTAGGGAGACAAATGCAGGCTTTACTTTGGCACAGTTAACATCATGCACACAGACAAGGGGTAACATAAACATATCAGAATACTGAGGTGGGACAAAGTCCTTTTATTGCAAGTGATACGTCTTAGTTATGAAAGTCAAGTTGCACATCCAGACATGCACGTCCAAAGTGCCAGGTTAAAACTTTAATAAAATGTTTTTTAATTTCAAGTCCTAAACAAGTAACCATCTAATTTAATTGACATGTTAATGATTTTCAGGTTGAGTGTCTATCTCCTAGTAGCAGTTAGAACATTACATAAATATAGCAAATAATAATGAGTCATTGCTGGGGCCATTCCAAGTCAAAAGACTTAAATCCAAATTAGGGCATGAGTCATTGGTGTGAAAGTACAACATATAAGGGTCATTTTAGGACAACAACAAATTATGGTAATATCAAAAGAATCATCAAAAATAAAATGATTGTTCTAATTTGTTATATATTCTTCAAATGTATGACTATAACATTTCAGAGATTACTCAAGTGTTGTTGCTTGTGCATTTGTATATAAATCTCTTTCTTTAAATGTATTACATTCAAGTATTTTTCCCCTCTCCTGCTCTGTTATCTTTCCTATTATTCTACCTACAATTGAGTTAAAAGTAGTTATTTTTATTTTGTAAAGTCAGCTATAAAGTCATCATGACCTCAGTCTAAAGATTCAGTCACACTCTTGTCACAGTCATGTGCCTCAATCCACACCTCTGCCCCAGGAGAGCATGAATTCAGCCTCTATAACTAACGCTGAAACACCATGCGGCGTTAGTGTTATCAGGCTATCATCTATAATGAGGCTAAATGAGCATACAGGAGCCATGCTGTCTGTCCACTCTCCATGGCCAGCCTGTAGTCTCTTCACACTGTCGATGTCCTCCAATACTTTTACTAGTTCGCCAACTCCAAAAGTGTTCACCTAGTGGAAATAAAAAATGGAGACATTGTTACAAACTACTAACATATTTATAATCCAGATAAAGTCTAATTAAACTGAAGTTCTGAAGCATGTGAGATCCTCATATCTGTAACTATACCTTGGTGAGGGCCCCAGGATGGAAAGTCCAGCGGATGTTGTTGCTGTACTGGACTCTGACATCGCCTCTGTCAGTAATTCTGTGAATAGTCCCGATCCGGCAAATGTACTGCAAACACAAATTGGCCGTTTCACCCAGGGTGTCTCTGTGCACGCCCGTGACCTTAATGTTCCCTTTAGCAGCTGTGATTTGAAAGTTGGACGCTCCGTTTCCTTTCACTCTGTTGCACGCCAATGTCCATCTGAGACACTTATATAAATATTCTATATGCCAGGCTTGAGAGGCACGTGTGTTATGATTGTTTGAGGGAATATTTGTAGAAATATTTTTGGTGAAGTACAAAGAGTTAATTGAAGCATATTGGAAAAAATAGGGGAAGTTCATGTTGTACTTTTCATTAGAGGAACTCCTCAGGGAGCTATGTTAAGCTCTCTTTAGTTAATATGTTTGTGTGATTTCTCTCTCTGGCAGAAGGGAAGACTTTAATACCTCTGCCATTTTGGGGTTCCACCCTCCATGGCCCTCCTGCATCTGTCGTAGGATTTCCATCTCCAGGAGACATTTGACCTTGTCGCCCTGCTGGAAGGAGTGGCCGTCGGCGCTCTCCTGGCGTTGCAGCTCTGCGTGCTCTCCTGGATGGACAGGCATTGTTATTAAGAGTTACAAGGATTTCACAAAGCCGACAAGTTCAGGTTTGAAGGTAGCATGTCTATAATTGTTCCATTCCATCATATTTACATTGTTGTAACGTTTACAAATGTCAAGCAAAAATACGTCAAATAATTAGAAGAAAATAGGGCAAACAGGTTGTCACTTAGAATGTTTTTCTGTATACCTACAGTACAGAGAAATTACGTTAGGATTGAATATTAAATGGAGGGCTGAACTGCACTTATCAGTTGGAAGTAGGGATGGATTTAATGATGTTGTTGTGTTAAATTGTGAATCTAGACTGATTCTTTTATATAGGTGCATTCTCTTGACCACAGTGAATAGTTTTTGGTAAAGCTAAACATCAACAAATATGGATTGAAAAATAATATTTCAAGAGAAATAAAAACATGTCGTGTTTATTGATTTATTTGTTCAATAAATGTTGAATTTTGGACTTAACCACGATCTTGTGTGGTCTAAACTTGAAAAATGACATGACGCACAAGAATCAGATTGTTCATGAAGCCGATATATGTCCAATATACTCCCAACTATCCGGTGTTATCCCTAACAAAACTGAGTCATTAATGACTTAAAATCCTATTTTTGAAACATGAATCTGTTGTTCTTACCGAGCCTTGGTAGGTGTTCTTTGTAATAGAATCCTCCTTGACCATCAGACACGTATTTGAGGTCCACTTTTCCTTTGTGGCCCATTCGGTAGACATTGGTGGTGCCATTAGACCAGGTGACGCTGGCCACGCTGCGACCGGACTCCGTGTCCCAGCCGCGAATGTCCACTACCTTCCCAACCTTACCCTCCCCGCCTACACATGCATACATACACAGACAAATGTGCAAGAAACAATAATGTATCATTGTTGGGAGAAAAGCAAAGATTAAGGCAAATACATTGGCTCTTTAAAGAAGGAAAAATTATTAGATGCAGAGACAGAGTGAAGTTAATGTGTTTGGATCAGGAGAGAAAACATGAAATTATTCAGTGTAAAATGACAACAAGCTCAATGTAGATATATGAGACAATGAGAAGACAGACACAGAGGTGTGGGAGAAACAGCTCCCCTGTAGAGACATAAGCTGACAAGTGTCACTCACTTCCAATTTTCAATAGCATCAAATCAAAATTAAGGGATCAACCTAAATATTTTTACATCAGGTTTAACAATGCAAGAACACCCTTTTTCAAGCCATTGAAGTTCCTAACCACCACACCAGCTAAACCAGTGACCCATTAGACTACATGCTGGGGGTTTCTGAGCATGCTCAGAGCGCAAACACAGTTTAAGCCGGATGAGTGACTTCCCCAAACCCCAGGGCGATGATTTCAAAGACACCAAAAGGACATTTTGACTCATTCGCTCTCTCCCAGAAAAAGAAAAGCGTTGCTATTCTCAGAGACAAAGATGAACCCAACCCGGGAAAGATGAAGAAATACTGTAGTAGCATTCCTTATTTCCCTAAAGGGAACATACAAAGGCTGGAATTTAGCTCACTAATATGGAAGAGCGCTTTAATATTAAAACTATTTTAAACATCAGGCAGAACAGGTTGTCTCAAAATGGCAACAGTGTAGACTTCAGACATTCTTAAAAGCCAGGAATGTGCAATCTCTATTCTCTACTTTCTCAACACTTGCAGGGTATACTGTGTTTTAAGTGAATGGGCTTCTCAGTTTATGCCACTACACAGGAAAAAGAGAAACAAAGAAGATACATGTTACAGAAACAAGGACACTCAGACAGGCACATCTGTGGAGCAGACTCAGATGAGTCACAGGCAATATAAATGCACGCAGACACAAAGTAACAGGACATAGTGCGGGTTAATGAGACGTGAGGTTGGGATGTTATTATAGGCTGTGGATGGAGAAACACTTTGAAGAGGAATACAGCTCCATGCTCGAGAAGGTAGGGGGGCCTGCTGAGTTAGCAGGACAGAGCTGGTGGTTAAGAAAATGTTCCCCCCACAAACACCACTCACCGTCTTGGTTTCCCCAGTCCCAGTCAGGTCCACGAACCACTTTGACCCCCTGGAAGATTCCTTTGAGGATGATCCGTGGGAGGTTCTGCCTCGGTGCCAAGCACACTCTGCGATAAGAGCACGGAGACACAGCTGATCAAACTGCTCGACAGACCATCAAAGACAATGTTGAGACTTTATATGAAATCCCTTGTCACACAATCCATATTAAAAAGACCAACACAACATGAAATAGCAAAGAAAAAGTGCAGTATCACAATATTTCTATATGAATGCATTTACCTCATAATTCATTTGTCAGTATTAAGGACTCAGATTTTACAATTTTTTAAAAAAGGTTTTAAGAATAAATGTAGTCTATCAATCATAAATCTAATTTAAAGTTTATCTTTAATTTGTTTAATTATTATCCTAAATGTTTGAAACCAACAAAACCTTTTTGTTTCAAGTTTTTTTAAACATGAATCAGCCTTTTTTCTCCTCTTATTAGCACAGTGCAACCTGTCTCATGTGATCCCCCTATCATTTGTGTGTCCTCTGCCTAACGTCCAACTTCTCATTAATTTGAAGAATTTTGTTTATTGTAGCACAGTTCTTCCACAAGTGGTCAAGAGATAAGCAGGAGTTAAGACAAAGTATTTATTCCGATGGGATTTCCCGTCTGTCAAAAGCTCAACTCAAAATAAACCAATGCATAGCTGCCGACACCCTGACTAACAGCCCAAATTGCCATTAAAGATGCAGGCAATCTAACCCCCTGATCCCACTGGAAGCGTCTATGCTGCGGCTGCGCCGCGCTGCGACCTCCTCCTGCGTCCTAACCCACCAGGCGCGTTTCAAAGCGTTGCGGAAGCGGAGCGTCGTGTGTGCAGCCTCGCAGTTGTTGGATGAACATTCCACTTCTTGCCTGCGCCGCGCTGCGCCGCGTCAAAAATAGGATTCATCCTATATTTTAGAAATTCCTTGCGGCGAGGAGCTTCTGGGACGCTTCGAGCCGCGGCGCAGCGCGGCGCAGCGTGTTTGGTGGAATAGCACCCATTGACTAGAGTGGCCGCGATCGCTAAAAACGCCGCAGCCGCAGCGCAACGCAGCGCAGCGCAGATGCTCCTGGTGGGATTAGGGGGTAAGAGAAAGTAATTTCATCAAAATCTGACATACCTTATGGTAAATATTTGATCAGATCTTGGCGCAAAGGAGCTGCCTATTCCCATACTTTGACGAGATCAAACCCCAGCTTCCATTTAAGGCAAACAGCTTTTTGAAAACACTCAAAGTCATATAAAATCCAGTGTGATCAAAAGAAGAAGAGCCTTGACAGAGCTGTCGTCCTCAGGGAGTCTGATAGAGGCTTTGCTGCTTCCACATGTCTGTCTGCCGGGTATTGCTTCAAGTTAGCCTTGGCTAACTTCATCCCCCGCCAATGGAAACACATTCAAGGTTCCTGGGTGCTTTGGCAGGAAACAGAAGGACATTTGACTCTTAGAGCCAACTAAAAGTAAATCCTAGCATGCGACTGGGCTTTGACATGTCGGTGCAGAGAGTGTATCTGTAAACAGAGCTTTGAGCCTAATCCCTTGACAGCAGATCCATCAGGAAGCAGGCCACCACTGGGCAAAGTATATGAGAAATATAAATAGAGATATAGAAAAAACAGTAGTTCATTTGTTAAGTATACATATTTTCCTTCATTGCTTCAATGCATTCATTTTGTTGATGGGTTTTAAGAGCTTTTCAAGGATTTTAGTTTATAAATGGAACAACTGTGATAAGGCCAACTAGTTCCGGTAATAGACTTCCAGAACTTGAAGTATTAAGGGTCAAGGAGTGAATGTAGCAACCTGTGCCAATTTCCTGATTAAGTTCAGACATGAAGGACTGACTCTAAAAGACACCAAGAGCAGTACTTTCTATAATGAAAGATGAAGAGCTGTTTAGTAAGAGAAAATAGTTTTCCAAAGACTGGATCGATGAATTATATCAGTGGTAAATGGGGTGTAAACAGACAGATGACCTCAGTGTTTGACATGTGTTCCGGTGCGGCTACTCCGAAAAAGACAACAGCTCTTTGAAGGGATCAAGATTTCTAATCCTGCCTGGCTGAATGTCACCAGTGCTCCCAGACAGGATCAGGACCTGCCACCTTCTGACATAACGATAACAGCTGGGTCAACAGTCAGACAAGTGACTTTTACCCTTTGAGAGGCAGTGAAGTAAACAGAATTAAGCTTTATTTGTTGAAATCAAAAGGGAGGGAACAGAAGAAAAAGAATTCACATTAATTGGTTAGGCTATTAGGTACCATTTTTGAGTGGAATGATGGTTGACGGCTTCATCTTAAAATTCAGATGGCCGTGGTTAAAAATGTCACCCGGTTTTTACAGCAGTTTTTGAAAAGTGGCCCCTTGCCCATTTAGCTCCATGAGCTGAACACAAACCAAAAGAATAGCCCACCTTTCTGATCGGAAGGAAAAACATAGCTTCTTTTAAATTGATAGAAAAGGTAGGAAATTGGGGTATGCATACCTGCCTGTAAATATTAGTGGAATATTCATTTTCATTAGCCATGTTAAAAGCTTATAAGGATTAGTCTTTTTTCAGAATAAAATTCCCTTTGAGGACACTTTAAGCATGTATTCATTGTTTAATGTCTAACAAATGTGCTTTAGTCCACGCTTCACGTACCAAAAGAATGAAACCTTTTTAAAAACATTCAGGAGGACAGCCGTTGTGTGAGTGAAATCGAGAGTTCAATGTTCATATATTGCAAACAAGCTTAGAAATTCCAGAGAAAGTGCTGGAAAACTCGGGATGATAAAAGAAGCGTTGGGTTGGACATGACGTGAATACTACACTTGACCTCTTCTATTTAGGTGGTGCAGTGTAGCTTGATCAGAAGGGAAAAGGATTAGGAATTGGGTTGACCGGATATATACCCTGGAACTTTCTGTGTGGCGTTTGTGTGGAGCCGATTAACCAGCTGCACACCAACCATCTCATCGTAAACATATGGTACACGCATGATGCCCTGAGCACTCAGTATAACCACACACGTCTGAATGTTGTGTAAACTCAGTAACTAAATAAAGAAACCTTTAAGCCATTGAGATCACTGAACAGCCACTTACATCGTGACATGTCATAGGGGCTGCAGATCATTTTCTAGATTCATCTTTTTGGTCTATAAAATTATGAAAAGTATCCATACTGTTGCTCAAAGTCTTAAAACATCTAGTAATGTCAGTCCAAAACCAAATTATATTCACTTAAATAGTATATAAAACATCTGAAAGCAGAAAAATCTATATATTTAAGTTTCTCAAAACAACATTAGTTTTGCTAATTTGGCACTTTAACGAATATTTGTAATTATTATATTAATCAATATGTCTAATTTTTGAATGCAGCCCTACACTACATGTATATAATTACATCGATATAAATCGTATATCTTAAACATTCATGGTAATACAAATGCTCTACTCCGTGTAGATACAACACACAGAGTCAAATTAAGTAACACTAATACACAGCTTAATGCTTTGCTATAAATACACCTTCCTATCCAAAACCTGTTATCCAATGCATGTTGTCTAGGAAGTTAAAAATGTTAACATGGTAATCCTCCGCAGCTGAGAATGTCAACAAGCTAATCAGGTCAAATCTGTGGTGATTACAAAGGGACACCCACTTATGGTCCATCCGGCTCACAACATGTTTGTGATGGAGTGTAAGCAAGTCGCACCAGTTTATAGTGTTGACAACTTCCCATTGTGCCCTCAGGACCCCGACTAACTTCCTGCCTAAAGTATGTTTACAAACTACAAATAGATCCACCCTGCTTTAAAGCCATTAAACCCCTCGCAGATGTTTGGTCCACATGAAAGGAGTTCCTCTTCACTATGCTGAGCCCAAACCCCGGTCTCCTCAAATAAATCACTGCTGAAACAACGAGCCCCACTCATCATGAAACCAGGCTAAATGTGCCTTTCGAAGGCAATGTCAAGTGTGTCCCATGACTACCAGATTATAAATGAGTCTTTTGAAATGCTGTCAGTGAAATATGGGTCAGCGTGGTCTGGATATAAAGAGGCACTTTGTGTTAAGCACCAAATATTCTTAAGTGTTCCTCTATTTCACTCATCAGACCAGGAAAGAAGTGACTTTCACGTGATGTCCGCCCACACGTACGCTGCGTCCCACTGCAGGGGGACAGTCACAACTCAATTTCCCTGAGATTATTCAAATATGTATTTGATAGCACAGCAAAGACCATGTGGTATGAATGGGAAATGTCATGTTAATATTGTTAGAGAAACTCCCTCTGGAGGGAACTTTATTTTTAAAAAGAGAATTTCCGCCTTTGCTGATTATTTACATGCACTAAAAGCTTTATAACAAACTACAGGAAAGAGAAAAACGTAACGCCGTTATTTTTGGCAGTAACTAGTACTCTAACGCATTACTTTTTAAATTCAGTAACTCAGTTACCGTTACTACATGGTGCGTTACTCCGTTAGTTTTTTTATATAGTCAACAGCCAGGCGAACAGAGATGAGAACTGTACTTAAGTACAGTACCTGAGTAAATGTACTTAGATACTTCCTGTGTCACATGCGGAGACGCGCTGTGGGCGTATTTGTGTTGTTTACTAACAAGACCATCATGGCGGCGGCGGAGCTCAAGTCTAGTTTCTCCACCTGGAGATATTCTCACTATTTCACTTTTGTCGAGCACAAAGAAAAGAACGTTTTAGTTAAATGTAAGTTGTGTCTTGGCGGGTAAAAGATCCTATCTACTGCCCAAACCAGTCATTCAAATCTCTTAAAACATCTGCAAAAACAACATGCTGGGACGAAGCTAGTAGCTAAGACCGGCACAGACCCAGACTCATCCAACGCCACTCCACCTCCACCTAAGCAACAGCGGCTGGATTTTAACCAAGGGACTGCTGGCCAGGGAAAAGTCGATAAAGCCATTGCACGGTATGTTGTAGAACACATGCAGGCTATTGCTACAGTGGAGTCACCCGCTTTCAGGGAGCTAGTTAGCATGATAGCATGTCCGGGCGGCACACGGCATATGGGACGGAAAACTTTTTCCAACTACCTGGAGAAAGAATATACAAAAATGGAAAGCCAGCTAATATCGATGCAATCCAGATTGCATATAATGCATGTCAAGTTGATCAACAGATTGTATTATTCTCCAATGCAATAACAGTACTGAAAGGAAGGCTATAAGGGCATTAATGGGAGCCATTTGTCGAAGTAACTAAAACGTTACTTTTCACAGTAACGCATTACTTTGTGGTGTAAGTAACTAGTAAAGTAACTGAGTTACTTTTGAAATGAAGTAACTAGTAATGGTAACTAGTTACTGGTTTTCAGTAACTAGCACAACACTGATTATCAGTGACGTCAATCCATTCAGAAGGAATGCAGACAAACGAAAGAGGATCCATTTTCTCAATACCTTTTAGATTAGTGAAAACAATTATGTTAGTATTTTATCCATTTAAGACAGTGTTTCTCAAACTTTTTCATACCAAGGACCTCTTAACCAATAAAAAAACACTCGCGGACCACCTAACTCCACAAATATCCAAAAACACATCGTTTTTTACAAATTGCCTGAAAATTGTACAAACAAGTGGCAACATGTGTGATGAAGGTGCTTATCTGGGCTATATCATGCAATCGAAAGTGAAACTTAAGCTTGTTCCATTGCGGAGATATTCCCGCGAGAGTGCGAAAAACTTAAATAAATGTATTTATTTCAAATGTGAAATGTTATCAATATACTCACGGACCACTAGGGGGCGCTCACGGACCACCAGTGGTCCGCGGACCACACTTTGAGAAGCACTGAAAGAAATGTAGCATTAAAAGGTGTCCAACAATAGTCTTTAAAGTCTTAACCTTGTGAGTTTCATACAGAATTGTTATCTATCTGAAACAAAGGTTTAAATGACTTTCAATTGGAATTTTATGTGATAGCTTTTGCTAAACTAAATGAATGTGCAGATGTAATTTGATACACATTGTACTCCTATTGTGACCTAAACCAAAGTCACACTATGAAAAAGGATTTTTACAGACTGTATAAGATTACCAAACCACAGCAAATTCTTACAGTAAGTTTGAGTTTTCAAATACGATTTGGTACTAACATATTACTTATCAACCCAGAAAAAGTAGGATATTTCTGATGACTTATTTCTAGTTTTCCAAGTTTAACAATTTTATCTTACCAACGTGTTACTTTGGATTACTGTACAAACCTTTAAATAACTCAGATTAAAGATCTGGATGCCCATAGCCGTTATCTTCCCATGGAGAAATAGTGCCACCTGACTAGGCGGAAGATATGCCCCTAGACTGACAGAGCAAAGAGTACAACTATTTCAACTTTGGCCTTGATTGCGTCTGACCTTTCAAAGCAAAACAAATTAGCTATCATCTGCATGTGATGTAGCCAGAAGTGACACAAGGCTACAGGGGAGGGAACCATAGAAACAAAACCGACAGCTGTCAAGACTCTGGCCCTTGCCAGAGGGAAAATGTTCTGAAAGCATGCTTTAAACCTGCATTATTTTTGATTGCCAGCAGGTTGAAACACCAAGGTTGCAAGAATTTTTGGAATTGGCTTTCAAGTTAATTTCACTACATTAATTATGGATGTACCCAACTAGTCTTGCTAGCAATAGCATTGGCTAGTGACTTAGCGGGCCTCGCTCATCTACCATCTCCTTCAAATATAGTCACTGCCATTTCCAAAAAAAACAATATGGGGCGACACAATTCCAAACAAGAGGTATACAAATAGTAGTCCAAAAATCACATCACTAACAACATCCACTTATTTTATAAAGTGTATGATTGTAGTACTTTCTTAAGACTGAAATCTATGTTTTAATGCAAATTATTAGAAATAATTATACAAAACATTTGACCAAAGTCAATGAAGTTTTCAGTGAGAATAAATGAGTATTTGTGCATTGTCCACAGAGGGGAAGGCCAGGTTTGACCTGAGGGTTACATGCAGGTGTTTGCTCCACCCAAAAAACAAGTCCATAATGAAGGACACTGCTGAGCCCAACATTTGGGCCTCATGACAATCAATATTTGTGAAGAGAAACTGAGGTTAGGGACTAAATGAGATTCCAACTCCTGTCACTATGCTTAACTAATTGGTGTAATTGGTGTGCAGCTCCATTTCCACCCCAACCATCAGAGTACATCATTAAAACTCCTTAACCTGAAATGGCTTTCGCAAAGATGTTTCTCATATCTATTGAGAATGCAATCACATTAATTGATAGCAAGGATGCCAGTTTGAAGTCATGTTAAGGAGCTGAAACAATTCAGTTTTGCATTTGTTTAACTCTTCTGTCTCTATGTTGCTTCTTATATAAATAGTAGCTCATCCTGACTGAATCAAATCATGGTTGGAAATTTTTTAGAAGACAATAACTACCCTTCTTGCCTGTCATATCTTAATACAATATGTAATCAAATCTAAGCTAAAGAGTAGCAAGTCTTGAATCTTACCCACAATTGCACAGTTCATTGTACAGCAAGCACAGGAAAATAAATGGAACCGTATAGGACCTGGACTGGGCTGAACTATAGGAGGAATCTGGGTCATACATATCACCTCGTTAAAACGAGAACAGGCCATCCAGCTGACATTCAGACGGTGCCTGCAGCAGTTTGGAGCTTTACTGTGAACTGATGCAGAAGAGTGGATTCTAAAAGGGAGAACTCAAGTCACTCCAGTGCAGGATACGTAGGACACGAAGAGTCAGCAAGACGGGGGCGAGTGTGGTTTGCCTAAACTGACTTAAGGGCGAGCCATTCATTTATAAAATTACTGTCATCTGGAAATGAACCCTGATAATATTATTACATCACCATTAGAAACTCAGCAAATCAAACAGACAAAAGTGGAAAAGCTGATGATGCTGTTGGCCTGTGTAGCCAGACACCAGACTAATGAAAGTTAATTGAAGGATTGAACACTAATAAGGTCTAACCTTCTATGAGTCAAACTGGATTTGAATAGAGCAAGCCGGTCAAGAGGAGACATTGTGACGGACGACACCGTAATTAGAATTTCAATTAGGATCAATTGTGCTGGCAGTGCAGTACTCACGGCTGGGAGTGCGCTGTCTCGTAGCGCTCGAAAGCGTGGCTCAGGTCGTGCTTGTTGTTCATGTAACACTGGGTGCACAGGTCATAGTCGAAGCACACCTTGCACTTCCATCGCATTCCCATGATGCCGTGCTTCTTGCAGCTGTCACAGATGATATTGGAGTGACGCACGCCTGCAGGGGAAGGAGAGGTTGTTGGAGAAAGGTGAGTGGGGCTATGAATTTAACATGGCAGAGGTTGCTATAGTGCAAGTGAAGCAGTGAAGGCATACGTCATGTCCGCACTACTTATCACAGCGGCTCATATCATGGGATGTGGAGGAGCCAAGGCACAAACATGATGACAAAAATACCCCACCCCCTCATCCCTTCTCTTCTTGCGCTCCATTAACTGAAGGGCAAGCTTCTGAGGCAGAACAATTTCACTTTAAATGGAGCAAAATGGTAATGAGTCCTGCATTACTGTATGTGTCATTTGAGTCAAGTATAGAGCTTAATGGTTAATGTATAGAGATACGTACCATGCCCAGTGTTTCCCACAGATCTGAAATCTACTTGGGGGGGGGGGGGGGAGGCTGAGATGCCTACTCAGAATGGGCTTTGTGTGCGAGTGTGTGCGTGTTAATGGATGATAGCTTGTGATTTGAACTTCTGGATTAACTTTGCTTTCGGTAGAGTTTTAAACCCTATAGTCACATTTCAAAGACAATGACGTCTGATAAGGTTAAGGCACGGTTCTCGGAGAGCTCATTTTAAGGTCCCAAATTCTCACTGGAAAATGTCTTTGTGATCAAGAGCATGCAAGCAGCTGCAAATTAATTGAAAATATAGGCTGCATAAATGTATTGGGTATCAAACGTTGGGTGGAAATGTTGGAAATGTGTTTTTCATGTAATATAACCAAATCTATTTTCAGGTTTTGAAACACACGCATCTTTAACATTTCAAATCTGAAAAAAAAATAACCCTAGCTTTCTAGCTTACCGATCTGAGCGTTGTCATAGAGCAGCAGGTCATAGGAGCCCTGGTAGCCAGTGCGGTAGTTGGTTCTTGTGCCGCTGTCCCACTGCACCACCACCGTCTTGTCTGGTGTAGTAGTGCTGCCCTGCCGCCCGATCTCCACCACGGCGCCCAGGTGGCCCTCGCCGTCGTCCTGGTTACCCCATTTCCAGTCCAGACCACGCACCACGCGCATGCCCACCTCCATGCTGCCTCTGCTCGGGCCCGGCCTGGGGGCTGAGCGCAGCGGCCGGGGCCTGGCAGCGCTGTCGCTGCTGCTGCGCCTCCGCGGCTTCTGAGGGGCGGGGCCGGCCCGTGCCGACGATATTGTGGGCAGGGAGGGCACCAGGGGTGTATCCGGGAACAGGTCAGGGGTCACTGGAGGTAAGAAGAGATGCAAGTTTAATGAAAATGTGGAAACTAAAAGCAGGAAAGTCACAGATACTGCATTCACAAATAAAGTCGAGGAATGGGTTTCAAGTGCTACACGATATAAATAACTAATTTCGATTATTTTGACAGATATTGCAATTATGATATAGGAGGGATTGATTTATATTCATCATTCTCATTGTAAAATATATATAACTTTGCAGCCCATCAATACTTCATTCAAAATACCATTCATCAAATATTATACTTTGTCGATTCGAATATTGCACTGTCTAAATTTAGTTTTAATGCAATAACTATTTCAAGGCATTACTCTGGCAATGGTACATTTTGGGTTATTTCCACAGCCTTTTAGACAAAGGAATCACGCAACCTGTGTCTGACTATAAGTCTGTGAGTGGCTGATGAGGGACTCAAAGCAACACGCCATATGTCTCATTAAATTCAGAGCTGTGTTCTCCCTTTCCTGGTAGATCATTCACTCGGCCTCGCTGTGTGTCATGGCATATTGCTGGAGAGCAGCTGGATGCCACTGCTCCAATAAAGCCCTGACACCACACACACACACACACACACACACACACACACACACACACACACACACACACACACACACACACACACACACACACACACACACACACACACACACACACACACACACACACACACACACACACACACACACACACACACACACACACACACACACACACACACACACACACACACACACACACACACACACACACACACACCACACACACACACACACCACACACACACACACACACACACACACCACACACACACACACACACACACACCCCCCAAGTATCCTTCATCGTAAAGTTATCCACATGACATGTATCTAATAGTGGTTACAATATTACCCATAAAACCTAGAACTGGAATCCCAAAGTATTCCCAAGAAGACATAATACTAACTGTCAATTGTCATCACAAGGACAGTGTTTTTAATGAATGCCACTAGGTGCTATAGAGAAACAAGAACTAATAGAGGAAGCGACATTTATGTGGTAGCTTGAGTCAGTGATAATATAGAAAGAAACTTTGCTGATGAGCATGACCATCAGCAGACATCCAATCACATCCATTAATCACAAATGTGTCAGAAGTATATTTGTATACACTAGTGCAGTGTTCCATCTCCACCGTTACACTTATAAACAAGACATTAAACAAGCATAAAGCAGTCTTTGTTGACACTGCAGTGCTATTTCTGTGCCTAATGATACAACAAAATCATCTTTGTGAGCTTGCAGAAAAGTTCAACTGCAGGCTTGTAGAACAGAAGGACAGAACGTAACATTGTCAATATGTACCAACAATATAACTATAGCTCTTAGATTACGGCTCAAAGCCAGCACTTTGTCTGCCTGTGTTAACGTCTTTTTGTGTTTTAGAAAAGAAGCAAGTCCACTGAAGAGATGTGACATGTGCACAGTAACACTAACCCTACAAAATAAAGTGAAGCAAATATCCACATTTTTGTTGCGTTTCACTGTAAAGACATGTTTACATTCAGGTCCTGCTGTGTTGTATAATAGCCCATACAGATTGGATTATCTATGAGGACTCATGGTGTAGTGTAAAGGACAAAAACACAAGTGATAAATCTTTCACAAACATTGTCCACTTTCTAGCAATAGCAGGGCAGGGATATCAGTGTTGGAAGTTGATATAATTGATCTATAAACTATGGTTTGGACAGGACACTTTTCAATAAGTAATCATTGTTTTAAAGACAATCCATATTTGTTTAAATATAGCCTTAAGATCGGCAAATACCCTGCATTTATGTGGTGATTTTCATCCGATAGGATTATTTAGCTTAAAGGCTGATGGTTCAGGCACAGGGTTCAAACTCTCAATAATAGAACGGGCAGATGTCTGTAATGCGGAGGAGATTACACTTGCACGCTTATCAAGATTACAATATCATTTGGGTATTAAAGGCATCTGCTTAAGCAGGAAAACATATGGGATGTAGCGGATCAAAAGGAGGGGACGTTGGCTACTTATACTTCCATTTTCTGTCCAAAAATGACAGCTTAGCCTCTTTTATGCACGGAAATAATATCCTGGCCAATCATCCGACATTCCAGCATGCAAACTGAGGAGCTGTCACAGGCTTTCACGCAGCTCCTGCAGCATTCTGGGTGTGGATGGATGAAGAATAGCCAAGTTGGTGTGTGAGTTATTCACAATACAATCTAAATGGATTTCTCTCTGACCTAAAAACAATACAAGATGGGAAGGGTATTTTGTTTAATAATTCCCACAACCTAAAAAGGCTCACTTTACATTTGCGGTAAAGTATGACCACAATGTAGCATCCTAGATTGAGGAACTGTTTTGCAGACAAACAAAACAAACCAGAACCTACCGCATACATTAACACACACCTACCATTACCCACACCACCATTACCCACACCACCATTACCCACACCGTGGTTTCCAGAGAGGCCAAACACACTGATATATAATCACTATCGAGTACACCAAGACCGGTACTGACAAGTAGATGCAACACAGGGGATTTGGGGGATGACTCTACCGACACAACAAGAGTCAGGGACACTTAGTGTTACTGTAAGCTTTTTTCTTCCTCTCTACAACACCACGTACAAATGGACACCCCAGAAAAAAAGCTCTAGCTCCATTTGGCAAAAACATTAAGTAAAAAAAGACTCTTATCTTCCTAAATCCCATTGCACGTGAGTTCTGTTGACAGATGGTCACTGCTAGAAAATAAGAATGAATCCAAAGGTCGTATCCTAAACAGCAGAGAGCGATTACTACATACCAACAAAGCTCTTGCCTCTAAAATGTGGGGCCGCCAATGTATAAAGTAATGCACACTTAAATCGCAACTCAGCAGTTCTATAGGGAAGAACATGATTTGGAAAAAATAGCTACTTGTGATTATTTTTGAGTGATATGGCAATTGAGATATGATCTGTAATGTAAGAGAGAATGACCATTTCAGAAAGATATTCAAAGATGATAATTGGACAATATACTAACATGATCATTAGTGTGTTTTTTAAAAAGGGTCTGTACCCAAACAAGGATTTTAATAGGATTCTGTAGAATACCGTTTGTAGGCCGGGACTTCTTTGCAGCACCGCGGTACATCAGCCAGATGGTTCCCATAGTTGGCAAATCGCCTACGGAAATGTCGATATTGTCCTAGTTGGTATATCCATTTTGATAACATTCAAATTAATTGTGCAGCCCTAGTACAAAGCTTTCTAAAAGCTTTCAATGCGATTGTTCTTTATGTTTTAGAAGTACATTTGTGGGAACAAACACACACACTTGTGGTCTGAACATTGTGGACTCACAATCTTATGTGTTTACTTGTGCATTTCCATATCAAATATGAAATTGTTATCTGCAGTAACAGCAAAGGCTTGCAGTTCAGACTCGTATCATCCAATTTGACCCCTAATAACAACAAAAGCAATTTCACCCGAATAAGTACTAAGCGTAACCTGGACTCAGTCGAGCCGGACTAGAAATCAGATGATGGAAATCGTAAAGATGGGACAAATCACAGTTTTACAGATTTGACAGATCACTGAGGGCTGAGACAGCAGTATTACTGCTCTCTGCCTGCAATGACAGATGGGCTGGCTTCTGTCATACACACTGCTGAGGGCCAATCTGGGAGGGCAATGTCAACCTCCTTTACACAAACAACCAGACAGGCGTTTGGCCACAACACAGATACACACACACCGTAAACAAATGCTCAAAGACTGCTCCAGAATATTATGCAATTTCCATGAAGTAGACGTATGTTGCTGCTGTAAACTGCAATCAATATGGTTTTAGAGATCCATATACTGTTGGCGATTATATTGCAAAACACTTTATATTTTAGGTTTAAAAAAAATGTTTTTTAAATCAAATTATAAATCAGAAAACGTTATTGTTCTTGTAATTTCCATATAAAAAAGAAAAGAGTCACTGTTCATAATGAATTGTACCATTTTGTACCAACTGGAAAGGGTCAATCAAACTGCATACTTTATACACTACAAAAACATGGGATTTAGTACGTTTTCCAATGTGCACATTCAAAAACAATGAATCTGTGAGATGATGGCGAATCGTGCAGGTCTGAGAAATTGTGCATCACAGACTGTTTGGTTGGACGTGATTAAACAACATGTTTAAGAGTCACTGCTTCAGGTTAAGTAAGGTAGTGTTACATAGGGCACATGGGCATAGGCTATTTACCAAGGCTGCTGGCTTCACTACGCAGATAAAATATCTCATTGTTTACGCAGCATGGCAGGCGGACCTGGATCTGCACACTGATACAAAACAATGAGACTCATTTTCAAGCAGCAGAAGCTTGCCTTGTGTCCTGTGACACGTGGTGTGACGGATCCTCTCTCTAAAGTCTAATAAGAAGAGGCTGTTTGCCTGTGCAGACTTCTACATATGACTCCTACTGGACCTAAACGCTAAGCAAAGTTCAATCCTAGCACAGGCTCTCGGGCTTTACCCTTAATATCAGAAATGAGAAACAGCCTGCTGGAACTGGTTCGTGTCAGAAACATCTGGTGGCTTTCTGGAAAATCAATAAGGACCCCGAGTAAATAACACATTTACAAAGATTTCTCCAGAGGCCTACAATTAGACTTTTTCCATTTCAGGCTTCTGCTATAGCTTCTTTTTCTCAAACCCTAGTCAAACAATCCCTGTGTACCGTGGAAAATATCTCATAATGATCGCATCTAAGAAACGTCAACATCTTCACATGTTTGTCGTCAGCTTTGTCCTCAAGCATTCTTACAAGCTTAATGGCAACGGATTTGAAAGCAACTTGATACCAGCAGAAATCTTCCTATCAGCAAGCTTTATCCCGTACCCTTCAACAAGAACTCAAACCACAGCAAACCCACGATACTCTAAAAGCACTTGCTGTACGTCTGATAACACCGTGCTGAGATTACCATCTCAGATTATTGTGGGACAGCATACTCACGCCCAATGATTTTAAGTCCACTTTTGAACATGTTAAAAGCTGTAGGGTTCCAGTTCTCTGTGGAATGGCAAGCTTTGCAATGCTGCTATCCCGGGTCAACCGGCAGGACCATCTGAAGTCCTGAGCACTATGCAGCAGTCATCCTACTGACAGGGGGAGTGAACCCTTCCTGGCTCAGTATTTGGTTTGCTGTGAACTTTGCCCTTTGTTTTGGAACATGTAGTTATTCTCCTGAGCTTGGTTGATTTTCTTTTGTGTCAGACAGATGTTGCTCAAGGTCTGCCTGGTGCCTTATCTTAAAAAAGGAATTAAATAAACATAATGGCTGGAAAAGGTATTCAAAGTGCTTATCTTACAAAGGACTGTGTTTCTGGTAGAAACATAATCAGTAGTGGGAGGAAGCTTTACATTTCTTTGGTTAGCTAAGGCTCATTTCTTGTAAAAAGAGCTTATTTAACACAGTTGGAAATCAGTCCTGTGTTACATGTCGAGTCGTACATTATTTCAGAAGTCATTATTGAGTGAAATACTTTATCGCAAAAACGCGATAGTTCCAATGTTTGGAAGAGTGATATTTGAGATACTTTGTGAGAGTATATTCCTACAGTAGATGGTGGTTGGGACACGGAGCCAACAGGAAAACAGCACTAAAGCTATTCAATGTATTGCTGTGGACAAGGGCAACAGCAAAACATATTTATTTTAGGGGCCCGGCACACCTACAATTGATATCTACACTGAACAAAAATATAAACGCAACACTTTTGTTTTTGCTCCCATTTTTCATGAAATGAACTCAAAGATCTAAAACATTTTCTATATACACAAAATAACCATTTCTCTCAAATATTGTTCACAAATCTGAAAACATCTGTGATAGTGAGCACTTCTCCTTTGCCGAGATAATCCATCCCACCTCACAGGTGTGGCATATCAAGATGCTGATTAGACAGCATGATTATTGCACAGGTGTGCCTTAGGCTGGCCACAATAAACCCTTTTTCAGATTTGTGAACAATATTTGAGAGAAATGGTTATTTTGTGTATATAGAAAATGTTTTAGATCTTTGAGTTCATCTCATGAAAAATGGGAGCAAAAACAAAAGTGTTGCGTTTATATTGTTGTTCAGTGTATTTGAGTGTATGCAATAGTTCAATATTTCCTCTGCTTTAACCCGAAGTCTTTGTTTATGCCCTCACCCAAGCCACCAGACTCCATTGATAAAACAGTGGTCTTACCAAGCAGAACACAAGAGTAGAAGGTCTACCTACCACTACCAGTAAACTAACACAGTGAAGCAGTACTGTCTTTGTCAATGGTGTCTGGTGGCTTTGAACATATCATATACTGTATAGCAGGTTCAGTTTAGTCAGAAACCGACTGCAAGTTAAAGCTGGGGGGAAATACAAAATGTATAATACACTTAAAGATATATTGGGTTTTTTAGGATTCAAAAATATGTTTTGCTGCTGGCCACATCCACCACTTATTTTCCTGGCTGTTATCCCTATTAATTTCTCCCTTAGAGCTCTCTATCCTATTTTGTTTTAATGAACCAGACTCAAACATATCAATCAGTCTCATCTACTCTGCTCCTGGATAGGATCATTTCATTCAGTGCCTGAAGATGATCGTCAATCAAGTCATCTGAGCGACGCAATCACCGACCTTAATTTAATCTTACACTACCATGATCAAATCCTTTTGATATTGATTCTCACAGCACTGTGGGCATTGTCTGCATCAAGCACATTATGCTGTGATAGCTACTCAAATAAGCCTGGGCCAATATATATGTTGTATTTGGGCTACCTCCAATAAATAATCTACATGTTAAACCCAAAACGATTGCACAACACTCAGATCACCTTACGCAAAGGTCACAACATGTTTTGCTTTTTTGATCGTCACCAGTCTGTTACACAAACAGGGATAGCGTCTGCAGCTAGATGCATGCCTGCATGCTTAGCACGTCACTAGCTTTACTACAGATTGCAATGACATGTGGCACAATTGTAGTAGCATGGTCACGAACGTATAGCGACTGGCTGCCTACCGACCGTGTTGTGTTTGCACATGATTCTATTACCTTTCTGAGACAGTGGAATCAGCTCATTTGAAAGCGCTATTGGAAGCAGCCATATTTAATTTAAGATGAAGGACATGGCTTATCTTCATAAGATTCCCAACTGACGAAAAAAAGAATATGCTGCTCTCTATGCTAAAATAAGAACAGCATCCTTACATGGGTTCCACTGTCTAACAAGAAATACGTGCTAGGGTTACCCAAATAGTAAAGACGGAAACTGCATCTCCTGATAAATAAAGCATGTCCTGTTTAGCTGGTTTACCTGTTGGTATATTGATGTGCAGAATGGTGAACAGAGAGGCCGGCAAAAATAGGCAAGGAGAGGAAGCAGCTCCAACCTCCTGCTACCAGCGGTTCTACCAGCTTCCAGTGAGATAAAAAAACGCCTCCTCAGGGCTGAAGCGCTGTTCTGATGGTGCACTCCCTGAATGAACCTGCCGACGAGGAGGAGGAGGAGGAGGAGGAGGAGGAGGAGGAGGAGGAGGAGGAGGAGGAGGAGGAGGAGGAGGAGGAGGAGGAGGAGGAGGAGGAGGAGGAGGAGGAGGGCAGCCAGGCCGGTATTCCAGAGATGTGATATACAGCCGCTCTACAGAAACAGCGTCCTGCTGCTGTACAGGCTGACTGTAACGGATCAGAACTGGAGGAGGGAGAGGAGAGAGCCCTGATGCTGGAGGATGCAGCCAGCGTTCAGTCCTTTGTGGGTCGTGTCAGCAAGGATTACCAGGGTGAAGGAGGCGGAGAGGAGCGGAGAGGGAAGAGGATGGCCGGGGAGAGCGGCTGCCCGACGAGCGCCGCATTCAGGTCGACGTTCCCCTTCCTCTCACATGAAAACAGGCCAGTGGGCTGTGCTCCGCATTAGACTCCTCTGACGCTACATCCCATCACCAAGCACACCAAGTGTCAGTAACACGCATGTTAAGCCGACACACTGTGTTTACTGATCAATATGTACAAACACATGCACATCAAGCTCCACATAAGGATGTACAGCCTTCTCTCTGATGCCAATGAGCAGACAAGCAGAGGACAGAGGGAAGGGGGGGAGGGGCAATATGTTTCGGGGGAGGGTCTGGATGTTGTATTTTTTTTTTGGGTGTGTGTGCATGGGAGGGGGGGGGTTCAGGGAAAAAGATAAGGGGTGGGGCTGGAGGAGGTTTTTGATGAATGGGCACCCGCCATGATCCTCCTTTTTAGTAGCAAACTGGCAATACCTCATTCACACCAACGCAACTCCGGTTCAAGCTCCGTGCTAGAGCTTTTCAGGTTCAGAACCAGTTCTTCGGTTTAGCTCTGGCTCTTTTCACACCGCCCAGAGTCCGACTGGTAATGCGTCGTTGCGTCATCGTTTGCGTCATGACGTAACCGTTTGCGTGCCTGCTTCATAAAGTCAAACCGCGCGGATGAAATCAGTTGCATTCATTTCTTATGGCTCTATCTGCAGCTTTTCCAGAGTCATTTCTGTGGTTTAGTTATATTCTTATAAAAAAGTGTACTCGTGTCAATAAAGGTTTTTTAAAACACAACTGCTTCCGAGGTCGGTCTTATTTCTTAAGCTGGACTGAACCATGAGTGTGGAGTAACGTTGTATCTTTCATTTAAATGAACTGTAACCTTCACCCAGATATGTAACAGCTGTTCTCAAATGAACACGTGAAGTAAAGTTTAATATTTATAGTTTTATAGATGTATAATGAGTTATAATGAGGTGATCAACGTGAATGCTCAGGTTCCACCTTCACACGCAGACACGTTGCTTCACCATGAGCAGAAACCTTTATATATACAGTCTATGGCAGAAACACTGAAACTCTTGTTAAGTTTCTCCATCGTTGTACAAACTGGCTACAACGCGGGCTTTTTGTTGTTGTTCAGGAGTTGATCTGTCTCTGCCCCCGCCTCGACGTAAGCGTGACGTATGTGGTGCTTTTGCTCTGGCCGGACAATTTGTTGGTGCTCTAAATGAACCGGATTCCGGAGCTAAGAGGCTGCTCCGCTGCGGTGTGAAGAGGAAAACCCGGTGCTTTTCAAGCTCCAGCTCCGAACCGGCCCTGAAACACCGTTGGTGTGAATGAGGTAGAGTCTCCTGCAGGCTCACACAGGTAGGAGGAAAATGGGAGTGTGTGTGTGTGTGTGTGTGTGTGTGTGTGTGTGTGTGTGTGTGTGTGTGTGTGTGTGTGTGTGTGTGTGTGTCCAAATGCTTTCATATCCTTATACAATGCTCTAATGTGTCTAATTTAATGTGTCCACAGCTGTAGGAGACCCCACCAATATGGAAGCCAACAAAAGCGTCTGGCTGGCACACATGGATGTACAGCTGGTGAAGCCAGGACATGAGCGGTAGCCAATGAATAAACGTGGGGGGGGCTTAGGGAAGTGTTTGAGACACGGGTTTATAATGAAGTTTAGTACACCACCATCACCGTGTTGTAAACAAAGCTGCTGCTGTCTGCGTGATGGACTTTTTAGTCTACATCATACAAAGGAGGGCATTCATTCATAGAACACCCCTTCAAATAGATAGTGACATACAGACCGAAGAATATGGCAAAATCCTTGTGAATTCACACGACACTCAACATGTCACCCTCTACCCCACGACATCAATCTAATCTGAACTCCTGCTTAAATGTAGGTGTTGCTACTGGAACCATTCCTCTATCAAACTGCTGCTACAGGCACCGAATATTCTCACAGAGATCAATTACGTTTAGTCTATATTAAACCGGATGACTCTGAAGTGCTGACTCTCATGGCAGCACAACACGTTGCAACTCAAACCGTCATCTTTGTAATTATTACAGGACTGGCATGTGGCCAGAGGGGGTTGGTCTGAATCCTCAGTCCATCTGGGAAGATCTTGGTAGGGAAACTAGCGCTGTGTATTGGCCATATGATACGCATCATGATACAGGGGTTAGCATTGGAATGTTTGGATATTGTAAGCAAGGCGATATATTTAGATTTCTTACATCTTATTTTAGGAAGACTGAAATAGTATAACGAAAACAATCATATGCATAGAATCTCAGTTCAAACAAAGGGATCTGCTTTTGCATTTATCGCAGTCCCTCTAACATCCAACATCATAGCACGACTGTTAGTGTAAACTGGGCCTTTTATAAAGTTTAAAATCCCCAAAGTCACACATAAACTCAAACAAACTAACCAATGAAGGTGATAAAGCAGCAACTCTTGGCCCTGCAAGGTAAAGTTACAGTTTTCGTCAATAAAGTCTGGTGGCTTTGGCTAAAGCTGCATATAAGGGCTTTAGTCCCCTTTCCATAGTGTGCAGGTCTATGTCTGGTCTCAAAGGAACACACTGAAAAATGTCTAGATTTAGCGTTTATTTGGTTGGCCTTTGAATGTGGCTAAAATGTTGCTGCCCCCAGTCGGTGCCCTTACTGTCTGCCTCTCCAAACTAGAAGCAAGCAGAACTTCTTTTGACTGTGGGACCGGGTTATAAACTCACTATGGATAACTACCTCATACTACCCCACTTCAAAACATCCAAGCCATCCCTTTAAGCTAACATTTTGAAATGCCCCAAATACCTTAGCTCAACAACTAAATATTGGCCATCAGTGTCATCCAGAAGAGATAAAATGGATCTGATACATAATCATAAAATGTAATCAATATCACTGGTTGTTTTCTTAGAATTTAAACTTGAGTCGAAAAACATGTTATTTTGTTTCATACAAGTGCCTCAGGTAGCTTTTCCACTCCAAGAGAAATGACTGGAAAGTTGACTAGTACAAAATAATCACAGCCATTGGCTATTTGGCAAAAATTCTGCGTCCTGCTTCATCAGTCAACAACATTGGTTTTGGCTTGCAGCTATGCATGTTGGTTACATTAAAAAACATCAATTCACTGTGGTGACGACAGGCAGCCGCTGTCAAGCTCCACATTGGAATATCATGCCAACCTGTCAGCCAGGAATGCCTTTTTTCATTTAAATTATAGTCAGGTCATTTTCTTCATAAACACTACATGTTTAAAGAACGAGTTGGAAACACAGTTAACATTCTCAGTCGAACCAAAAGCTGCTATACACCAACAGATGGATTCTTTACTATTTGCTTTTGTGCTGCTGAAACAACCACAATTTCCCTTCTGGGGATCAGTAAAAGCTTAAATTATCTTATCACCTAGTCTTTAGTTATGGTGTCCATTAATTATATTTGAATACATCTTAAAATATGCCCTATCCATAGAGTATGGAGGATTGTGTAAAGGTTATTTTCCTTGCAGCCTTAAACTGCTAAAAAGAAACATGTGTGGAGACAAATGCGTACTAAGTATTTATGGGAAACCACTCAAATACAAACAGATCAAAACAGGCCCCACACTACTAAAGGCTGTTTTTACACAGTGTACCTTCAAATTACCGACACAGAGATCAACACAGACTTAACCCTTCACCAACAATTATCCTAAGTGTTTACAACTCTTACCTTGAGACTTCTCCCACAATATTTCCCCCATTTCTTCTCAATTGCAATCAGCTGTTCACCTCTGCTTCTCTAAAACACAAGTAATGTCTGTGTTGTAAGCCAGGAAGCATTTCACGCTTAATTATTGTGATTAAGATTTGAGGAGCCCTCAGCCAAGTGTGGACAACAAGACAAAGAAACAGCAGATGACTGAAACTTTGTTACCAAGTAGGTGTGGCTGAGAGCAATCCTGACTATGTCCAGTTGTAGCTCCAGAGTGAGTGAGAGTGTGTGTGTGTGTGTGTGTGTGTGTGTGTGTGTGTGTGTGTGTGTGTGTGTGTGTGTGTGTGTGTGTGTGTGTGTGTGTGTGTGTGTGTGTGTGTGTGTGTGTGTGTGTGTGTGTGTCCTAACATTACTATACTTGTGGGGACCTACATCTTATCACGTGTGGGGACTCGCCTCCCTTATGGGGACAAATTGGAGGACCCCATGAGGGGAATCATTAATTTTAGGGTGAAGACTTGGTTAGGTTTAGGATTAGGATTAGGGTTAGGGTTAGGGTTAGGGTTAGGGTTAGGCATGTGTTGATTATGGTTAAGGTTAGGATAAGTCTCCAGGAAATGCATGTAAGTCAATGTAATGTCCCCTGAAGTGATATATACTGTGTGTGTGTGTGTGTGTGTGTGTGTGTGTGTGTGTGTGTGTGTGTGTGTGTGTGTGTGTGTGTGTGTGTGTGTGTGTGTGTGTGTGTGTGTGTGTGAGCTGCTGCTGGGCTCTGCTTCATCACTACCAAATGACCAGAAAGATGAAGGTGTACAGGGTTAGGGGTTGTGTAACAGAGACAGCCCTCCAGCATAGTGTCAGTCCTTTCATGTTAGCTAAGCAGGTTGCCGGTAGACACAGGAAACAACTGCAGGCAACTGTTCCTCACAGTCCAACCTTTTTCCTATCATTTTTAAATGGTTTAATTGTGCTCCGTATAACGGTTGACTTTTTTAGCATACAGGTGACAATAACAGTTCCTACCATCCAACAAAATATAAAATACAGACCTGTTGTGGATAGTACATTTACTTTAGTACTGTACTCAAGTACAATCTTAAGGTATTTACGTTACGTTACCTGAGTATTTTAACTTAATGCTATTTTTACTCCACTACATTTTGGCAGCCAAAATTGTACTTTTTATCCAACTACATTTATTTGACAGCATTAACATCCGTGTCATCGTGGGTTACGTTTTTTTGGTTACTTTTCAGATTACAAGCTAATAAATCATATAAATCCATGATTAAATAAATATTGTCATAATAATAGGTTATGATGTTCAGCAGCAGTATACAATGTTATTTAAATTAGCTCAACATGTAACAGCTGTGATAAACACACCAACACATCATAATCCAGTCATTTAATACAATTCTGAAATGGGCCATTACGCATAAAATGTAGTTTTACTTTTGGTACTTTAAGTATATTTGAATACTGATACTTTTGTACTTTTACTTAAGTAACATTTTGAATGCAAGACTTTTACTTGTTACAAAGTATTTTTACAATTTATTATTGCTACATTTACTTGAGTAAAAAAAGTACTTCTACCATCAATGGTACAGACTGACAACTTGGCTGACAGGTACAGTAACACAACCATGACTCCCCACTTGCCTGAGTTAGCCTACTTGCTAGTCTAATTAAAGCCTAGAAACTACCTATTCTGTAATTTTGAGAAGGTGTCACACAAACCTCCTTCAAAATGTGTCAAATTAATTGAGAAGAGCATTTCACTAAACAAAGAGGGCATACTTGTAGCGAATTGTTACACGAAACTCAGGTTTATTCAAACGTAAAACCACCTCAAATGTCAGTTTCTTAAAATTAGGACACGTTTAATCTCCAGTTAAAGTGAAACCCAGCTGGGGGGGGGGGTCACATGTAAATGCATCATAACCACAAATATGCTATAACATAAAACAATACTCTAGTTATTAATATTTTTGATTAAATAGATAATGGAATGCTGCAAGGCTGTATACTACGGGAGGACGGTGGGATTATTGCGTACTACTAGCTTGTCTAACATTGACGCTAGCTAGCTAACCCATGTTTGGCCATCCTTTATTGGTATAAAAACAATGTATATTACGTTGAGGCTACTTACCGGGCCTTTGTCAGGAGTGTTCACTTTGAGGTGAAATATATGTCCATGTCGCTGTCCGCCACCGACCCTGACATGGCTTGTTTTAGGACAAATAAGTATTTTACGGTACTAAATTGAAAGGTTTTGCAGTGCACACTGCACAGCCATGACAACACGCCCATGCATTGCGTCACTACTAATGCTGCCTTCATGTGCTCCTCGTAATAAACACAGTTCTGAGTTCAAGTTTGATTTTAAGTAACAGAATAAAATCTCAGGTAGACACCAGTCTATGGTAGACACGCATGCTTTGCTACAATACTGTTATAGCGGTAATTGGATGTACGGTATCTTGTTGCATATGCATTTCCAGTGTGATAATGAAACGAAATAAGAGCATAACAAAAACTATTTATAAACATTTGTACAAAACAGTCCATCAAATAGCTATGTTACTGTTCTGAATTCCCCTTGAATAGGCACAGTGGGAAAAGCACAGGTGTCATTAATGACCCTAATGATGGCTCCGTTGTATTCCAAGTATCCCAGTGAGCGTGAGAGTGAGCCAGCATTAACACAACCTGGATCCTGAAATGAAAGCAGCTAAATGGAATGCAGCCCATCATTAATTTAATGATCTACACCTGTGCTCTCCTACTGTGAAAGAGTGAAAGAAGGCATGGTTTTATTATACATTTTTAATAGTATTTTCTAAAGCACAGACAAAGGCGGATGTCAAAAGTGTTTATCAGAATTGTAATTAACTATTAACAATCTGTACAACATGGGAGTGGCTATTTCTAATTTCCAATGAATTCAGCCCACGATTTAGGGTTGGGGGTTGAAACCTATGCACCCACAATTATTAAAATGAAGCTTTTCAATTAAACATGATTAAAGTATTAATCAACGTTTGCAAGAAGCAGTGAAGGAATAAAGGACAATGAATAGGACACAATCTAAAGATGTATACAGCTCCTCAGTATTATTGCTCTAGTTTCCTAATAACTTCTGAGATAACACAAAATGACAAAAAAAAATGGTCCAACGTAAAGAGAAGTTTTCAGTTGTTGTATATTTATAAAGGTTTTCATACATTAAATACACATTTATATAATTACTTAAATGTATTTATTATTAAAACAAGTTAATTTTACCAATAATTGAACATTTTAACCTATATCTTGATGCAATGTTCAGACCAATACCGCCCCCTGCTGACGCTGAGGGTTTCCTTTAAATAAGAAGACTGTAACTTTGATTGAAATATATATATATATATTTCATATCATGTTGCTTTGTTTGTTTGTTTGTAGCCTTTATTTAACCAGGTGAAAATCCCATTGAGATCAACAATCTCTTTTTCGAGGGAGACCTGCTTTATGGGCTACTTGATCTATATTGGCTCAATTCAATGACTCAGTCGTATTTGTAACAAATATACAATGGCGTACAACTTGAAAGAATGAAATACACAGGAACAGGTCACAGAGGTTTTAACTAAACTAATGTAGATTAAATACTGTGTCTTCTACAAGGAAGTGTCATTATAAGTGGTCACTTGTGGACAAAGAACATAACAATGTAGAGCTTTGTCATTGAAGTATGTATGCTGCTTGTATCCCTCCATCTACACACAGGAAATGTCTTTGTGACGGAATATAAAGGTTGCAATGAGGCAGTGAAACAATGGCCTATATTTTTTGGTTGAACAAAAATAACTTCTATTCCACTGTGCTATTTAAAACCCATTTGACAGCCACATTTGGATGGAGATCAAAGTGCTGCTTTATCCCAATTTAGAATGTAGAGACTGCGGAAATCAGAAGTGATTTTAAAGCGTTTAATTCATTTGTCATTAAACCAGTATTAAACATCAGTTTGCATGTTATATTGTATATCAAATTCATTTTGGCTGAAAGAACTGTGCCCCCTAATCCACAACAGACACATGGGTCATCAGCATCAGTGAGCTTTATTATAATCCAACCAAAGAAAAATGACAATGAGCAATTGAACAGCTTGTACCGTGCAGAGTACAGTGTATTTCATTTGATTCATTCATGTTTTTTAGGTACCAGCAACAAAATATGGCAACTGCAAGTTTATTGTCTGGCTGTAGATGATAAAAATGTTTCCTAGCTCTAAAAAAAATGACACAATGACTGTTACCAACACATGACAGCAGGCTTAATACTGGACAAAAACAACAGCTGATTATGCCTTCAGTGTCACAGAGGTGAACCTAAACTAAAACTGTTCAACATATAAATATGTCAATAAATTAACGCAAGTGAAAGCCCTCAGATAGCTCTGTACAAATACAAAGGTACATGAACTAGTCTGTATTAAAATGACAAAATGTGAAGATATCAAAGCTAGTTCAATCACAGTGAGGGCAGGCTGCCGGGAGGGGCCAGAATGATCCCGAACACGTAGAAAATTCCCATGAGGAGGTTGAGCTTGGCCGTCTTCTGGGGAATCTTGGCGTAGCATCGGCTGCGGAAATGCTTCTCCAGGGGGAAGGCCATGGGCAGCGTGAGCAGCGGCAGCGCCATGCTGATGGTGTACCGGGTGGCCAGGAGGCAGAAGAGCACGTAGGGGACGAAGAGCAGCATGTTGTAGAGGACGTAGGACAGCGTGGGGCCGATGAGGATGGCCAGCGTGACGATGCCCGCCTGCTTGTCAGAGTCCATGTCTCTGGTGTTGTTGCTGTGCAGGATGGCTTCCGTGTTTAGGGCCAGAGGGATGGCGTACACCAGCGGCAGCACCGACAGGTAGCCCACCTGCACCGCGTGCGAAAACATGACCGCCAGCGGGCCGAAGGTGATGAGGATCACCACGTCTCCCAGGGCCACGTACTTGAGGCCAATGCCTGCAGAAGACAAGTAAACAGAAGACACATCTAACTATTTATTTGTGTTTGTTAACAAGGAGGATGTAGAGGCGTAGTGTTTATTTTCACTTCCTCATTTATACTCTGAAGTTCCATAAGTACAAATCCAGGCATTCAATAGTCATTTATGGTACAAATTAGCCTCAAAAACAACTACACTAATGCTAAAAAATACAAAGATCTATCTTGATAAGTCCCTTAATTAGTGGTGGAATGTAACCACATTCTGTAAGTCAAAGTGAGTCTTAATTATGATATGAGTATTTCCATTTCATACCACTTTATGCGTCTACTCCACTACGTCTATTGTGGAAATATTGTACTTTTTACCCCACTACATTTATCTAACAGCTTTACTCATTTAGATTATTGATCCAAATATGTTTTTTTAAATACATGTGTATGTATTATTATAGATTAAACTACCCAGCAAGTATTACATTGTATTAACAGTTAGCAGGCGCAACATTTAAATGATGAATAATTATAATCTTTCTGAAAGAGTTTGAATGCAGGACTTGTATTTATAACATAGTATTTCTACACTTTGGTATTACTATTTTAACTTTAGTAAAAGATTGGAGTACTTTATTCACCACTGCCCATAATGCTTTAAATATGATCTTTTAATTCTTCCTGCTAAACTACTTCTTTTAAAAACTCCACAACCCCAGCATGAAATGCAGGGTTAGATCATATTTGTAGATATAAAAAGCCCAAGCTGAAAATAACCCTAGTGACATAATTATTGTTACAAAGCACCATAGAAGAAAACTATGTTGTTTTCACAGGTTGAGTAGACAGGTAAGCCTGAACGTTATTTGCATCAGTGCAATACAGTTCCCCTAGGACTTTTTAAATAAACCAAAATAAATGTTGCCCTGGATTGCATCGAATCATTTGAAAATGATGTGTTTTGCTAAATTAAATTCTTCACACCCTTCAGAGGGACTCGAATTGCACTTCACTTTACGAAGACATGTAACACATAAGTGACAAAAATACAGACTGCCTAAAAAAGGGGTAAAACAACCCACCCTTTGGTACCATCACACTCAAAGCCAGTTGAGTAGCACTTGAAATGTTTGGCTCTATGAAGCCTGATGTACTTATATGATTCTGTTTTCTTCAAGTTTGTATTTTGTTGGTCGAACGCACTTATTGTAAGTCGCTTTGGATAAAAGCGTCAGCTAAATGCAATGTAATGTCATCACATGACGGTGACCACTTCCATGGCTCCATACACAAGGTTTTTACAAAGCAGCCTGGTGCCACCAACATGTACTGTTTTGAAATACCACTTATATATAGGTTCTCTGAAATAGTCCCATGATATTCATGGCAATATTTTACTCACCTCCAGTGTATAAAAAAGAGCTGGACAATCCCCCGAAGTAAATAAGGGCTAAGTGTTCCAGTCTGAGTGTTGACAGGAAATAGAGCAGAGTGGCACACAAGCAGCCCAAAGAGTACAACAACGCTCCGAACATGACAACATCCTGCGGTGCCAAGATCTCGTCCACCAGAGTCCTATCATCACTCTTCTTGTGGTCAATCCCTTTGGAGAAGTCATAGTAGGTGTTCACGAGGTTCCCCGCCCCATGGACCACGAGGACGGTCACCGCGCACACCATGAGGATGACCAAGTCCACGGAGCCCTCCAGCTTGTATGCCAAGGCGCCGCCGAGGGCCACCGGTGTGAGCGAGGCGCTGAAGCTCCACGGCCTCAGGGCCAGCACGTAGGCTGCACACTTGAGCCTCACATCGGAAGCAACGCGGGACATCCTGGACTTGTGGTCAGGGCCCAGAGGATGGTTGAAGTCACTCAGACCGGTCTGCCATTGTTGGCCATTGTGACCATTCGATCCAGCCAGCACAAATGTCTCTGCCCTGCTTTGTTTCAGCTCTTTGGCCATTCCTCTGCAAGGAGTCTACAGTAGCAGCAACGTCTCCGGTGTTCCTGTAACAGCAAATCATCGACAAAATTACAAAACTGTTGATGGTGCAAAACCCACCACAGCCTTGACAGATATTGTACTAGAAGAAAGTCATACAGAAAGGTGTCATTTCAGAATGAATACAGATTAGGGATGTTAAGATTCACCGATTCGCATCGCTGCACCGGCATAAAGGTTCAAGATGCGAGTGCACCGGTTGAAAGAGTGCACATCGGCTACAGTTTTGGTTGAACTGGCGATGCATCGATTGTAGCGTCTTTGCATCGGTAAATATAATCTCCTCTCATCCTGTCAGCACTCAGCAGAGACGACCTTTGATCTTTGCTTCGCACTACGAAGGCCGAGAGTCTCAGGTATCAACACACATGGAAGTCGAGGAGAAAGAGAAACACAGCGCACCGAAAAATACCTACAAATCAAACGTTTGGCAACACTTCGGATTTTTCAAGAAAGACGGACAACTTGACAAATCGCAAGCAAATTGTAAACGATGTCGTGCCGCGTTAAAGTACACAAGTAGTACGAGGAACTTAGCCACGCACATAAAGAGGCGACATGGGGTCTGCGGCTGAAAAGAGAAACCTGAAAGTTAGACGTATGAGTTCAATCACTGAGAGGTGTTTAGTTTACAGCAGCCTGTGACGGCCGATAATAGTTTAAATGTCTTCCTCACTGTAAGCAGTTATGAAATACCTGTTTGTGAAAGGTTCTTTGTATTCTTTATTGTTCCTATAGAAACCACTGCTTTCTGCTCACTGGTGAGTTAGCCTATGGATGAGTGCTAAGCACATCAGGCTGGCAGCTGTATGGGCATTGCTCTATGGTAGCTGTTATGTGCACATTGTTAATCATGAGCAATGCTTCCTTACATTACTGTGAGGTGTTATACAACTGTACTCTGGAGACAGAGACCACTACTACAAAGGACATGTGAAAAGGCCAGTTTGTGAAAGGTCCAAGTGTTTGCTTTTTTAAGGTAAAAAATAAACAGCATAATGGGATGCGCAGCACTTTTTTGTTAATTTATTATTTGCTGCATATAAGGAATTTTAAAAAATCCTCTGTCGTACCATATTGAATTGTATCATTATTTTTGCATTGTGTTGATTTGCATCGTATCACATAATGTTGAATCAAATCGTATCGAACTGTATCGCAACATCGAGATGCGCATCGTATCGGCCTCAGTGATGGAGATGCAAATCCCTAATACAGATGCATTGAGGAGTTTGACGTTTGTTAAATAATGATAGGGTTACATTAAGTGTATACATCCTTTTACTACACTAACGTTGGGATAAACATAAAAGTATTGTTTTGGTCATGATACAAAAATGCAGGTATCATATTCTCATTGATAGATATTATAAGCCCAGGAAAAATTTCAATATTCACCACTGTAAGGAAAAAACAAGGATCCTGTCAGTAATATAATAATAACAAATAATCAATGCCATTAGACATTAATAATTCAGTATCAATGCCATGAAGAATAATATTAATAGAAAATGAATGCAGAATCCGCTTTATATTTAACAATATTTTCTTTAAATTGTTTGATTTGATGTTGATTTACATAATCAGGCAACGTAAGACGTCTCCAGCACTTGCAGACGCCCTGTTAAAAGTCACCTATGTTCAAAAGAAATATAAAGTAAATACAATATATAAGCGTGAGTTTTAATTGCATGTCAGATGTTGCTCCAGCAGGCCTGTGAAGTCTACCGCAGGTATACTCGGTAGACAGGGACAGGCTGGTAAACTTGCAGCAATGTAAAACACTGACTAACGTTACAGTAACGGTTCTGCTGTGGCGTTTTCAATGCAGGACAAACTGTGACTGTCTGTTTAGCTTGCCAATAAATACACGTGGCATTTTGTTAAAAAACACCTAGAATCAAATCCTAAAGAAACTGCTATCCAGGGAAACCAACACCCTTGCCAACTGGATAAGGACACCGTGCCGGTGTTCCGGATTAACTGGTTCCCCGATCAACTGGGGCACAGAGGTGGGGGGCGTGGCCTTCGACTGAAATACACATTTCGATCGCTTCTTCTGTCGTTTACATAAATCTTTTGGTATATTTGGCTCGGTAGGAAGACTTTGATGCACATTCAGTACCAGTGTGTGAGGTTGTGGTTACGATGGAGATATCCGGACGCGAACAGCGGGGACTACAAAAAGAAAAACGAGTTGACTGGGGATGTCTGTTCAAAAACGTTGCAAGCTCCAATAAATCATTTAAACCAGCTATTGTTGCCAGACTTATTACTGAATATCGTTCCTAATGTGATACCAAGTCCACCTGAGACCTGTGTACACCTTCAGACAGCCTCCCAGTGAAGCACACGTTGTTTACTCACAGTTTGAAAGCAGCTGGAGAAGTCTTCAGCTGTGGTAATCCGCTCGAATAAATCCTTTAAACCAGCTATTGTTGCCCGGTTTATTACTGAATATCGTTCTTAATGTGATTCCAAGTCCACCTGAGACCTGTGTACACCTTCAGACAGCCTCCCAGTGAAGCGTACGTTGTTTACTCACAGTTTGAAAGCAGCTGGAGAAGTCTTCAGCTGTGAACTGTAAACTGTGATCCTCAGGTAAACATCCGCCCAGGGAAAAATGGGACAACAAATATTAGGAATCCTCTATTCAAACATAATATTCAGTGACTGAATATTATGTTTGAATAGAGGATTCCTAATATTGTTTGCCGAGACTAACATTAATGACCCATCAGCATTTTAAAGTCTACCTGCACATGCAGCCATGACATTTCTGCTGCTATCTTTGCAAAACGAGTTAACAGTCACATCTTATCTGGATGAGTGCTGCAGAATACTGTTTATATAAAGGGATAAATGTGTGTGTAGTCTTTCATATTAAACATGATCGCTGGTAGATAGCCACAGAAGTCGTAACACAGTTTAAACTGGGCGGGTCCCATTTTTCCCTGGGCGGATGTTTACCTGAGACAGTTCACAGCTGAAGACTTCTCCAGCTGCTTTCAAACTGTGAGTAAACAACGTGTGCTTCACTTGGAGGCTGTCTGAAGGTGTACACAGGTCTCAGGTGGACTTGGTATCACATTAGGAACGCTATTCAGTAATAAGTCTGGCAACAATAGCTGGTTTAAATGATTTATTGGAGCTTGCAACGTTTTTGAACAGACATCCCCAGTCAACTCGTTTTTCTTTTTGTAGTCCCCGCTGTTCGCGTCCGGATATCTCCATCGTAACCACAACCTCACACACTGGTACTGAATGTGCATCAAAGTCTTCCTACCGAGCCAAATATACCAAAAGATTTATGTAAACGACAGAAGAAGCGATCGAAATGTGTATTTCAGTCGAAGGCCACGCCCCCCACCTCTGTGCCCCAGTTGATCGGGGAACCAGTTAATCCGAAACACCGGGGAGGCTCAACCATAGATATATATAAACCAAACACTAGATGACTCACCCGCGCTGCTGGCCAATGGAGACCGACGTTGCCACATGGCGGCCATCTTGCCACAGGCAGCTCGCTCAATCATAACATTATGTCTATGGTGCACTATTGAAATAACCGTAGATTGCTCAATTTTCAAACGGTTTGGTTCGTTATTTCATTTCATACCTTTATTTAGACAGATAAATCCCATTGAGATCATTGATCTCTTTTTCAAGGGAGACCTTGAATTATTTTTGTTATAAACATCAAATATGTAGTTATGATACTGCATACTTATAATTATAATCATTAACTTGTTTTTTTCAACATGTCTTGTTGACTCCTGTATCATAGCCATGCTAATAACGTTTATAATAAACCAAACCGTTTGTAAATCAGTCAAGATTTCAGCAAGTTAAGAGTATGTTTGTGCAGATCACTCACCTTACAACAGCTGTAGCAGTAGTTGTTGACTGTGGTAAAGTGGACGCAGGTGAGCTACGCTGGCGACTCCCCCTTGAGCCATCTGTGTTTATATATATCTATGGGGTCAACCACCTCCGCCTGAATAGCTGCTCAGATTAGGGGATTAAAGCTAACGGTTAGCCGCTGAGCTAGCAGAGAGGAAATGTCTGACTCTTACCGGTTATGTCTTCAACTTCCGACACAAGCTGGGTCTCTCTCTCCACTTAAAAACATATTTCTGAGCCCGGTGAACGAGAGGCAGTTACATATCTGACATATCAACTTCGAGGGGATTTGACTGGTTGGCAACTGTAAACCCTTCTGCGCCTGACCATGGTGACGACGGACGCCATTTCCTCTGACACAAGTGCAACTCCGTATATCCGCCGAAGAAACCGTTTCTCGTATAGTGGTTCCGACTTGCTTATTGTTCCTACAAACAATTTGGCACGACACAATAAATAGTTCAATAAAAAAGAATCACTAATTTGACCCATTTTATGACATAGCCCACCCCAAATAAAGCTATTTTCTTGCACTATTTTTGTCTTTTATTTCTAATGCCAACAACTAAGCTGTAGCTATTGTGTATAAAACAACAACAACAATAATAATAATAATAATAATAATAATAATAATAAATACTTTGACCACCCTGGGTCCAAATAATAATCACATCTTCTTAGACATTGTTCTACTATCTTCCCAGAAATATAAGATATTGGATTCAGGTCAATAATTTCTTATGAGTTGTCATTTACAAGGCATACGATTTAAAACCAAATGGACTGAACCACAAGTATGGGACACATTCCAGTTGTGGCCCATGCGCACATTAATACATGGGTCAGAACTTGCCATGTAAAATGCAGTGTACACGAGTGGAGGAGTCTTTGGTGCATAAGTACTTCAAGACTGTCACCCAGCCTAGTCCAAAATAAATCAACTTTTATAAGAGGTAATAAAATAAAGAGGTTCTGGATACTACAAGTGTTCCTGGAGTTTTACTTCTCCAGACTTTTTCCTCTCTCCATGCACCTTAAAAGTATGTGAAACTGTGCCGGAAATCCCTACTCCCCTTAATCCCCTCTGCAATGCCAATGCAAGCAATCTATACTCACAGTGGATCCTTGCAACACTTGTAAAGTGAAAGGAGACACAAGTGGAACGTTTTGCAAAACAACACATGCTTTTAATCGCTTGGAAGAAAGTTAAAAGGAAAATAAACTGCATCTGCTCTTCTGTTTGTGTGTTAGGAGTTTCATGCAAACTGGATTTTATTAGAAGTCATTTGTTGTTTGCATATGTGGCAGAAACTTGTTTAACAGAGGAGGATGTCCTGTTTTGATTTGTTGTGCAGACAGTGGGATAAGGAGAAGACAACACTTTTTTTCCCCCTCAGGAGAATGGCATAAACCTCAAAAGATCATGTTTAAAAAAAAGCATCTGATTCCGCTTTAACTGAGCTCCAGACAGTAGTTTGCAACAAGTGGTTTGGTTTTCATTAGATCGTCTCGACACTGACCCCATGCCCCATCCGCAGTAATATGAAACCAGCCCTCTGGCAGGCGCACAGTGAGGAAGAGACCAGAGCTGCTGGTGCTGGTGCAGTCTGCACCTCTCCTCCGCAAGAACCGCATCTTCCACTGCGCTGCCGCACACAGCTGCACCACAAGACAACACCGGGCGCAATGGCCAGGGAGTAGATGGTGAACCTGTGTAGTCTTCACTGAGGGATTATTGTTTTTTGTGTGAGTTTCTGGACGTGTAAATCGCAGCCATGGTGTGCTGTCAGACTCGCAGAAGTTTACGCAGAAGCGTCTGGGGCTTCGCTCCTCTGCTGGCCGCCGCGCTGCTGAGTCTCGGGATGCAACCAACCACCGCGTTCCCTTCCTGGAGGTTAGAGGTATGCTGTGAGTGACCGCTTCATGATAACAGTGGGACTGACTCTGTGAAGTCCAATATCATGTCTGGTTTGTGATTACTAAGGTTGTGACTTCCTTTAATCGTTTAAAAAAACACCACACCAAACTTCATTCACATTTCTGTGACTTAATATTTACCCTAGGTTTATGTGAAGCTTGGTGTTTCAAACGTAACATTTTGAAATTATTTGTAATAATTAAAGACTGATTTTAAATTCGGCATAAGCCTATACTGCTTTCAACAAAGCAGCACCTATTCCAAATAGTAACCAACTTTTGTAAATCAACTCATTCACAGTCTGGCACTAAAACAGTTGTGAGTTTGAATGATGTTGAAATTGATAGAATGGTACTTGGTGGATCCTTTATACAACAAATTCACCAAAGATATATCAGGATTAGTGATTTTCTTTATCATGTGATTACAAGCTGGTCAGTAATATAACATTTAAGAAATGCCTTTTTTTTTTAATTAAATTGGTCATTAGTGACAGGTTGTCAAATTAACAGAGTAAATGTTTTTTTCAAAGTAGCAATTGCATCATTCACACTTTTATTATGCAGGAGTTCTGCATAATAATATCTTCTCATGAAATCCTTTAGTCATAGAAGGCATTATGCACAGGCATTAACTTAAGCATCAGATTTAATTGATGCTGTGTTCAAATGGAGGAGTTGGATTCCATAATTAGATTAGGCAACCGAACAGTAATATTTGTCAATGAATTAGATAAATGTGTTGCTCCACACTGCCAGCCACCCACTGTGATACAGAGCCTAAGGGATAGTGTTATGTCATTTCCTTTGCCACACACTCATTCTGCGTCCATCAACAAGACTGCTGTGGAGGACTACATAACTGCCTGAGATAAGCTCCTCGAAGGCTAACAGAATGAATTAAGGCATCATTTAAAAGACTCTAAATGGTTCAGTTAATTACATTTTAAATGTGTTTTCGCTTAAGTGTAGTGAAACAATGCACTATAACAGGGTTAAAAATCTAGAAAAGTAACACTCTTTTCTACCAATGTCGACAATCAGTTTTGTATACCTGCAATCTGCTATATATTCAGAATTTCCCTTTTTTGTTTTATACAGAAAATCACCTTTCTTGACTCTCTGAAACTAAGGAGAAAATCTGTATCCCCTTTTTTTAACGGTCTCTGAGATAAAGTCTTCCAGACTCGCCCCGGGATCCTCCGGGATTCCACGTTGTGCCCCCAAGACTCACCACTGGCTTCAAGGTTTAGTCTAGCACATTTGTTTCGGCCGTCACGGTTTACAGCTCATCTCTATTTGTGCCAAAGAGGGGGATTATATTTGCAGTGAATATAACAAGACAGGACACAGAAAGAACTTTGCTGGCCTGACTACATTAAACACCTCATAAATCACGGAGCACGAGGCTCAGTGTGTGAGCTGAGGTCAGGGAAGCAACTGTTGTATAAAACAATGACCAGGATGTATATAATCAATGTAATACAGAAACATTATATTTAACATCAGAACAAGAGAGGCCATCAAGTTCAACAGCAGTGTGGGACAGTGTGCCAGACTGCCTGCTTCACTATTTAGGTAAGGAAATTAAGGAAGTACTGCATCTTTTTGTCTTGACTGGGCGAAGCAGGAACTGGAAGCTGAGGACAGGGTGTAGAATACAAAGTGAAGGGAGGGACTGATGTTTTTTCTCCATCTTCAGTACTTTTCCTTCAGTTAGAAAACACGCACTGGAGCGTATGTTGCATAGGTCGAATAGTTGAAAGAGATTTCGTTGCTAATTGCTATATTTGGATTGTGTTGTGAAAGACGCCAAACTATCAAATTTGCTTAAGATTTATAAAAAAAAGTCAGCAACTTTTGTATAATTTTTTGTAACAGAAAAAAATGTGTGTTGCTCATGTCTCCTTTAAATCGTCTTGCAAACCAAGAGTTTGGGAACCACTGCATTAAACTGATTTTTATTCTAGTGTATTCATTATAGAGTTGTATGATTGTATACAACAGTGTTACTTAACTTAAGGCCCCAAGGCTAGACCGGGTGTCTGGGTTGGGCAGCTAAACATTTTCTAATTCAATATTAAAATAAACAAGTGATAATGGGATAAAAAACACCATAAGAGCTTGTACTTTAAAAAACAGCAGCAACATATAATCAATGGTATTAACTGGGCCCTGGCCTCCAAGCATTTTGTAAAGGTGGACCGCAGGCAAAGCAAGTGAAGTGTAAACCATTAGGCCTCGGTGGCTCAGTATCCTTGAAGAACTCGCACCTTTTACGTGATTTCAGACAACCTATGGTGCTGAAAAATAAATTAAAGCCAAGTGCCAAAACTGCATTTCCTCGATTGGCTACCCAACACTGGCTAACACCCACATTGAGCTACACAACAGCTCTTTGTGACATTGCAGAGATTTCGTTCATCTGTATGTTTTTTGCAGGCAATAGCATTATTAACAGTTCCGACTGGACTCAATGTGGCAAAAAGCCGGCTGTTGTACAGATGAGGGATTTTGCGATGACTAATGGGGATAAAATCGCACACTTTCTGTTGGTCTCTACTTGAAGGGATTAGGTTTGTTCAGTGCAAAAGGGCTGGCAGTAGTTCTATGAACAAAATGAAGAGGCTTGAGATTGAGACTACTTTCACACCTCCACACATCTGGCCAAACACTGGAAGATAAACACGCGTTGTGGATTGTCTGCCTTGGAAGACATTCATACTGCAACCTGTTGTTAGCAGGCTCTCGCATCCTATGACTAATTTTATGAAACATTTAAGGTTGTAAAGAAAACAAGATTCAGGATACATGGGCAGTTGTCTTCTTAAATGTATTAATAATAAACAGAAAGCCTTCCCTGCACTCACGCACAGAATGAGCTCCCAATAACTGTTGGAAAGTGGATTTATTACCTGAAACCCATCTTTGTAAAAAGTTATAGACTTGATCTACTGGTGCATTCACTTACTGGAATATCACAGCCAAAGCAAACCACAACTTAACTTCAGTCACAAAATGTTTATGAAAGCACTTAATAAAATCACCCATAAAACTAAATAAATATCGCAGAATCCAGGTGGGATGATTTGGAGTTGATGTTGCCCATCCCCTAAGGGACATTAGACAATTTATCTGCGAAAATAATCATACTTATGTTCGGAAAGCACTTTAACTGCTGACCACATCCCGTTTCCATAAGATGGAATGCCCTCGCAGGAAAAATGAATGTGTAAAATTCAGATACAAGCTAGTGAAATAAAACTGGGTGCAGTTGTAACTGTCAAGGTTACTAATGGAGTTTAATGCCAGCAGCATCAAAAGTAAAACCTTTCTAGGGATTGTAATACGCATTCATCTGGCAAATCATTTAGTTTATGGAATTATTTTTGGAAGCTTACTCCATGCTAATCCCTACAGCATAAGGTGTTTTAATGTCC